CATATTTACTGGAAAGTGCTGGCCAAGGTTATGACATGGTGTAGATTACTGGCCTAACCACTCGAGGTCTGGGTTTGTTCTGTGGGATCATTGTTCTCTGTGCTTTGCAGATGGGTGTGGTGTCTTATATGATTTTCATGAGAAAAGTTATTTAATATTTGAATGTGGACCTGTAAAACAGAAACAGCTACATAAATCTCATGATAATTCCAGGGAGATCCCATTAGACACACACCAGGGAGTTACCACACTCTTACCTTTATTGGCTAAGTTACACAGACATCAAGTTCTGAGTTCTTCATATAATCAGGGCTCTTGAAAACAAGATCGAGATATAGCTACTTTAAAGACCTATAGAATTGCACATAAATTCTGAAGAATATAGATTATACTTATTTGAAAGTCCCTTACAACTTCCCATCTGATCTATCACATGTGATTAGAATGGAAGTCTTCACAAATTTTAGATACATATGACCATCCAAAACTGAACCAAGAGGATATTAACCACCCAAGCAGATCTATCACACACAATGAAATTGAAGCAGCATAGAGTCTCCCCAAAAAGAAAAGTATAGGACCTGTTGGATTCTCCACTGAATCTGTCAGACTTTTAAAGAACTAATACCAACCCTCCTTAAACTTTTGCATGAAATAGAAAGGACTGGAACACTGCCTAACTCATTCTATAAAGCCAGTATTACATTCATCCTCAATCAGACAAGGACACATCCAAAAAAAGAGAACCACAGGCCAATTTCCTTAATGAATATTGATGCAAAAATCCTTAATAAAATAATGACAAACCAAATCCAATAACATGTCAGAAAGATCATTCACCATGACCAAGTCGGGTTCATCCCAGGGATGCAGAGTTGGTTCAACATACACAAATCATTTAATGTAATGCAGCATATTAGCAGAAGCAAAGGCAAAAACCACCTGATCATCTCAATAGATACAGAAAAAGTCTTCAATAAAATTCAACACCATTTCATGATAAAAGCTCTGATGAAATTAGGAATAGAAGGAATATACCCCAACATAATAAAAGATATATATGACAAACCTATAGCCAACATCATACTTAACAGGGAAAACCTGAAATCATTTCCTCTAAAGTGAGGAATGAGACAAAGGTGCCCACTCTTTCCACTCCTATTCAACAGAGTTCTGGAATTTCTAACCAGAAAAAAAAGGCAGAAAGAAGAAATAAAAGGAATATAAATAGGTAAAGAAGAAGTCAAAATATCCCTATTCGCAGATGACATGATCTTATACCTAAATGATCCAAAAAACTCCACAAAAAACTGGACACCATAAACAACTTCAGCAAAGAAGCAGGATACAAAATCAACTTACAAAAAATCTGTATCCTTTCTAAACACCAACAATGAACAAATTGAGAAAGAATATAGGAAAACAGTTCCATTTACAATAGCTTCAAAAAAATCAAATACCTAGGAATAACCTTAACAAAAGATGTAAATGACCTTTATAAGAAAAGTACAAACCATTGAAGAAAGAAATCGAAGAAGACTACAGAAGATGGAAAGATCTCCCGTGCTCATGGGTTGGCAGAATCAGCATAGTAAAAATGGCTATATTACCGAAAGCATTCTACATGTTCAACGCAATTCCCATCAAAATCCCAATGACATTCATCACACAGATTGAAAAATTAACTCTAAAGTTCATTTGGAAACACAAAAGACTGCGAATAGCCAAGGCAATACTGTGCAAAAAGAGCAATGCTGGAGGTATCAGAATACCTGACTTCAAACTATGCTACAGAGCCGTAGCAATAAAAACAGCATGATACTGGCACAAAAACAGATATGAAGACCAGTGGAACAGAATAGAGAACCCAGATATGAATCCATGTGGCTACACCCACCTAATTTTTGACAAAGGTGCCAAAAACATGCAATGGAGAATAGACAGCCTCTTCAACAAATGTTGCTGGGAAAAGTGGCTATCTGCCTGCAGAAAACTGACACTAGATCCCTGCCTGTCACCCTGTGCTAGTATCAACTCAAAGTGGATTAAGGACCTTAATATCAGACATGAAACCTTGAAGCTAGTACAGGAAAAAGCAGGGAATACACTGGAAGCCATAGATAAGCTCAAAAAACTAAACTCCACCAAAATCTATGACCCAATAAAGAAATGGGCAACTGAACTGAACAGAACTTTTTCAAATGCGGAAGTCCAAATGGCCAAAAAACACATGAAAAAAATTTTCACGATCACTGGCCATAAAGGAAATGAAAATCAAAACCACACTAAGATTCCACCTCACTCCTGTTAGAACACTACCAACAACAACTGTTAGTGAGGATGTTGGCTAAAGTGAAAAGAATCAAATCAGGCTTCAGGCTTTGAAAATTAATACAAAATGAGAACATGGAGTTCAAGGAAAAGCTACTTCTTTCAAGAAGTTTCATTGAGGGAGAAGGAGTTAAAGGCGTTGATAATTAAAAGCGATAAAGCGAGAGCACACAAGAAGGGGTAGGATAGGTAAGACACCTAAAAAACACTAGCATATGTTGCCCTTAACGCAGAGAAACTAAACAGGAGACCTTAAAGCAACTGAGGCCATAGGAAGAGGGAACAGGTACTAGAGAAAGGTTAGATCAAAAGAATAACACTAGAAGGTAATTACACACGCACAGGAATTAATGTGAGTCAACTCCCTGTCTAGCTATCCTTATCTCAACCAGCAAAAAACCCTTGTTCCTTCCTATTATTGCTGATACTCTCTCTACAACAAAATTAGAAATAAGGCAAAAAGTTTCTGCGGTATTGGGGGAGAGGGAGGGTGGAGGGTGGTAAGTGAGTGGGTGGGCAGGGGGAAATGACCCAAGCCTTGTATGCACAGATGAATAATAAAAGAAAAATGAAAAAAAAAAATAAAATAAAATAAAATCACTTCAAGCAGAATAAACTTGTATTCATCTACTGTTTATAATTTATGCATCTTTATAATTTTGATTAAAATATTCAAAACAGTAAATTAGCATTGTTAATATTCAAAATATTTTTCCAATTAAGTTACATTTAAAATATGTCAAAAATTTTTAAAGATTTTTCTATATGTGTATTAGTCCTGCATTCAGGATTTGAAAAATATCTAATTTTAAATTTCAAAATTTGTCATTATCAAATACAAAACTTACCTTGTCATGATCTTTTCTTCTTTAGATCTCTCATTGCTCAAAATATTTTCGTCCCCGAAATGTAAAGATATGCTTTTATTTCATAAATTTCTACTGAGTTCTCCTTAAAAAAAAAAAAAAAAAAAGGAACCCTCATACAGTGCTGGTGGGAATGTAAACTAGTATAATCACTATGGAAAACAGTGTGGAGGCTCCTTAAAAAACTAGAACTAGATCTGCCATAGGATACAGCAATATCACTCCTAGGGATATACCCGAAGGAATGTGAGTCAGGTTAGAACAAAGGAACCTGCATGTTTATTGAAGCACCATTCACAATAGCCAAGCTATGGAAACAGCCAAGATGCCCCATTACTGATAAATGGATTAAGAAAATGGTATTCATGCACTATGGAATTTTACTCAGCCACAGAGAAGAATGAAATTTTGTCATTCGCAAGTAAATGGATGGAACTGGAGAACATCGTCTTAAGTGAAGTTAACCAGGCTCAGAAGGTCAAAAGCTTCTGCATATGTTCTCCCTCATATGCAGATTATAGACCTAAAACAATTGAAGTAACATTACGGGACATGGGTCACACTAAGGGGAGGCTGTGCAAGGGAGGGATAGTGCAAGGGAAGGAAACCAAAAACTTGGATGAGGTAGATGTGCTGACTGTACAGGAATGAGTATAGAAATTTTAAACTGGCTGGGACCAACATGGGAAGCAGATTAGGGAGGAGAGAAGAGGACTGGAAGAGGGGAATCAACTGGAACTGTAATACATATAAGCATGGGAACAACACAAGAAAACTCCCTGTATAGCTGTCTTTGTCTCAAACTAGAAAAATGTCATGTTTCTCATTTTATCTTTTATGATTTTTCTTCTACAAAATCAGAGCACAGGAGGGCAGAACATGTTTTTGCTGGGTTGGGGGTATCGGCACTAGTGGGAGGGGTGATGTGGCAGGGAAAGGGGTAGGAGGTTGAAAAAGTGCAAACAATGTATACACATGTATGTAAATGCAAAAATGATACCTATAGAGCCTGTTCCAGGAATCAGGGAGGGGGAATGCGGGAGAGCAGTGGAGTGGGGAGGAATTCAAAGATGATGTATTTGACACGTTGTAAGAAACTTTTTAAATGCCACAATGTACCCACACTCAGCCCAACAGTAAAGAAAAAGAGTGGAAGTCCTCAAACTTTTTGAGGTATTGTCATATTTTAATTAATTGGAAGATTTAATATTGCTAAAATGTCCATATAATCAAAAGCAATTTACAGATTCAATGCAATTCCCATCAAAATACCAATGCTATTCTTCACAAAATTTGTTAAAATTCATATGGAAGCAAAAAAGACTTTAAATAACCAAAGCAGTATTAAGCAGAAAGAACAAAGACATCATACTACCGGCTTCAAAATATATAGAAAGCTGTAGTCATTGAAATAGCATGTAATTGGCACATGGATTGGCAATGGAACAGAATAGCGAGTCCAGAAATAACCTGTTCATTACAACCAACAGGCTTTGACAAAGGCACCAAGAATACACAGCGGGAAGGGGAAAAGGATGGTCTCTCTTCAGTAAATGTTGTTGGCAGTATTCCCACGCAGAAGAGTGAAACTTGCCCCTCCTTCATCCTTCATCATTTCTTTAATTTAAAACTCCTATAACACGAAAACATGTTACTTTCTTACCAACTAAAATTATTTGTAAATAGTATTTAAATTTGCCTTTGTTATTAAAAAGCATCATATTTTTAATTAGAATGTTAGCAAAGTTTTAAAAAGCATCAGGGAAAGATTGCATCTTTTTTTTTTCTTCTCTTTTTTTGTAGCCTTATTCCTGTATTGGGTAATGGCCTTTATTACAAAGACAATCAAACTGGTGAAGTACTGGCAGTCTGGGTGGGGAGTGTCCGACCTGCGGTTCTGCATCACAGGCATGATGGTCATCTTGAATGGACTCCTAATGGCTGTGGAGATCAACGTCATCAGAGTCAGAGTGAGTACCTGACAATGTTTATTTACTGAGTCAACACAGTGACTCAATAGTGGTGCTAGTGACATATTTTTAAATCTAAATAATATAAAAATCTTCATGAAGTTACTGAATGACAGGTCTTTTAACAGGCTAATTAATTTTTAGAATTGCCCCCAACTGGTTTTAATGTGAAACTCTGGCACTTAGCTAGTTAATCCAGCAAAAACAAAAGGGAAACATTTCAAAGAATACTTCAGAAAGGGATGGAAGGAAGCACTAAAATATCAATCTTGGCTACCTGAAGCGAAAATGTACAAAGGTTAAAATTTTGTTAGCTTGCGGAAAGAGCGTTAGGCTAATTTTTGCACTGTGGAATTCCTCCTGCCACAGAGGTATGTGTTCTTCATGAATCCTCAGAAAGTGAAGCCACCAGAAGACCTCCAGGATCTGGGAGTGAGATTTCTTCAACCATTTGTGAACTTACTGTCAAAAGCCACATACTGGTGGATGAACACCCTCATCATATCTGCTCATAAGAAGCCTATTGATCTGAAGGCCATTGGAAAGTTGCCAATAGCAATGAGGGCAGTAACAAATTACGTTTGCCTGAAGACGCATATGAAGAACAAAAGGTAATTTAGTATCTGTCTTTCTTGTCCATAATTACAGAGAATAGGCTTGTTACATATAAAAGTCCAAGGCTTAAATAATGCCTGTGGCTCAGCAAGAGTAGACTCCCCTGTCTGTCTTACCCAGAGGTTTTGAGTCCTGTTGTTTGGACCACCAAGGAAAGAGTAGAAGAGCCTCTGAAGATGGTGACAGTACATTAGCTGCCCAGTGAATGCATGAGGAAGGATTAACAGAGCATGGGCTTTTCTCTAGGTCATGTGACCAAGTAGAAACTAAAAATTAAGTTCAATGATGGTATGATATTAACAATCCATGGAATTTAAATTTTTCCTCCAGCATCTTGTGAATAATTTTGTTACATATAGGCCAAATAGATCATATACACTAATAGCCCCTGTTTGTGAATTAAAATAATTACCTAAAAATTCGGACACAATAGTTCAAATAGATCATATACACTAATAGCCACTATGAATTAAAATAATTATCTAAGAATTTGGACAGTATAGTTCAAACTCGGGAAACTAAATTAAATTGGTTTCCATCTACTTACTTCTAAAATTGTTTCTTTTCTGAAGTGGGTGTGGTAGTTTATGCTTGTAATCCTAGCTACTCAGGAGGCAGAGATAGGAGGATCTTGGGTGAGTTCAAGGTCATCCTGGGCAAAAGTAGTGAGACCCTATCTCAAAAACAAAATAAAAACAAAAGGGCTGGAGGGGCGTGACTCAAGTGGTACAGTGCTTGCTTACCAAAAAAACAAAAAGGTTTCTTTTGGTACTTTCCTTCTGTTGTGTATTAATAATTGTTTTAAAAGTTTTAAACTTTTAAAATGAAACTTTGGATAGTTTCATTTTGTCTTATTATCATTCTTAATAGTCATGTATAATATACACAAGAGTAGATTTTTTTATATTGTAATCTTCATCAAGTATCTGGGTTATTTAAAATATTAGTAACAATACTGGAAGGAAGCAGCAAATGAAGGGTCAATTAAAGAGTTTTTGGCTATTCTATAGCAAGATCAACAAGCATTTATGGTAAATGATGAAAATGACCTCACATATCAGAAATTAGTGTTAGGAAATTGCTCTTGCAGGAAACAGTTACTACAAACGAACGTGAGTCATTTCTCTGGTTTCCCCCTGGGAAAAGTATTACATAAAACCTTTTAAAGCCCTCTGCTGATATAGAGATACACAATATACACCAAGAATACCTTACACTTTCTAGTGTTTTTTACAACATGGGTTAGCTTCAGTTTACTGAGCTAATGTCATATATCAATAAACTCTAGAAACTAATGAAATTATTCCCTCCGACAAGGAACTGAATATGAAACACAATTGAACTCCATTCCATGAGTTAGCCTCCTTGCCACACTTTACCAGCTTTTTCCCCAAGACATAATAATGTTTGTTTGTGTCTTACAATCTTACAAACCAATGCTGTACATGTGCGAAGACATGAGTTGGCATAAGCACACATGCCTTCACGTGTGCTTCATTTCTTTGAGGAATACCAAGCAAACATGTGCCTACCATAATTTTAAAAATACTGACTACCGTTCATAAAGATGGGGAAACCTGGAGGAGAAACAATTTGAGTTTAGGATAATCTGTTTTAGCTTGTAATAATGTGATAGGGAAATCTCTATAATTCAGAAATCTTGGCTAGTCTGTCATAACCTACTGCCTTCTTTTTTTCACACGATGTTGTTTGGTAATATTCATGACAGATACACATTTTTCAAATCAAAGGGAATTTAAAGTGATTTTGGCCTTAAGAATTTCATGTCATCCTTTGACAACTAAGAATAATGCAGTTTTGGGGAAAAGTGGCCTGCAGTAAACCCTTGGTATTGTGGGTACATGGTTCCAATGAGACCACTATTGAAGAAAAAAAGGTGTTGTATTGTGGATGCTTAATTTCATTTTTCCCATAAAGTCACCCAACTTCTGTTAAAGATATGCTGCCTTTCAACAAATCTCAAATTTTCACTAAAGTAAGCATATTGCATGCTCTTTTTGGCTTGGGAGGATTACCATAACTTTGACCTTGCTTTTGAGGCACATTTGCTTCTTGGGAGGTTTATTTTCACAAAATGAAGGGCAGGGAAACACTCAGCAGATCACGCAATGATTTAAGTACAAGTGGTAATAACGGGGCATTGAACTTGAGCTTTTCTGCATCAACTGAGCTGTGGAATGTGAATAGGAATTTAAAAGTTTTTGGTTTTGAAATTTCTTTTGATTTTTCTTATTTATTATTTTTTGACCATGCTTGGTCAAAACTACATGTATGAATCCATGAATAAGGTAGGCTTACTGGATATGTTTTTCATCTGGTCTATTTTCTTTTTTTTTTTTCATTTTTCTTTTATTATTCATATGTGCATACAAGGCTTGGTTCATTTCTCCCCCCTGCCCCCACCCCCTCCCTTACCACCCACTCCTCACCCTCCCCCTCCCCCCCTCAATACCCAGCAGAAACTATTTTGCCCTTATTCTAATTTTGTTGTAGAGAGAGTATAAGCAATAATAGGAAGGAACAAGGGTTTTGCTGGTTGAGATAAGGATAGCTATACAGGGATTGACTCACATTGATTTCCTGTGCGTGGTGTTACCTTCTAGGTTAATTCTTTTTGATCTAACCTTTTCTCTAGTTCCTGGTCCCCTTTTCCTATTGGCCTCAGTTGCTTTTAAGGTATCTGCTTTAGTTTCTCTGCGTTAAGGGCAACAAATGCTAGCTATTTTTTAGGTGTCTTACCTATCCTCACCCCTCCCTTGTGTGCTCTGCTTTTATCATGTGCTCAAAGTCCAATCCCTTGTTGTGTTTGCCCTTGATCTAATGTCCACATATGAGGGAGAACATACGATTTTTGGTCTTTTGGGCCAGGCTAACCTCACTCAGAATGATGTTCTCCAATTCCATCCATTTACCAGCGAATGATAACATTTCGTTCTTCTTCATGGCTGCATAAAATTCCATTGTGTATAGATACCACATTTTCTTAATCCATTCGTCAGTGTGGGGCATCTTGGCTGTTTCCATAACTTGGCTATTGTGAATAGTGCCGCAATAAACATGGTGTGCAGGTGCCTCTGGAGTAACCTGTGTCACAGTTTTTGGGTATATCCCCAAGAGTGGTATTGCTGGATCAAATGGTAGATCAATGTCCAGCTTTTTAAGTAGCCTCCAAATTTTTTTCCAGAGTGGTTGTACTAGTCTACATTCCCACCAACAGTGTAAGAGGGTTCCTTTTTCCCCGCATCCTTGCCAACACCTGTTGTTGGTGGGTGTTGCTGATGATGGCTATTCTAACAGGGGTGAGGTGGAATCTTAGTGTGGTTTTAATTTGCATTTCCTTTATTGCTAGAGATGGTGAGCATTTTTTCATGTGTTTTCTGGCCATTTGAATTTCTTCTTTTGAGAAAGTTCTGTTTAGTTCACGTGCCCATTTCTTTTATTGGTTCATTAGTTTTGGGAGAATTTAGTTTTTTAAGTTCCCTGTATATTCTGGTTATCAGTCCTTTGTCTGATGTATAGTTGGCAAATATTTTTTCCCACTCTGTGGGTGTTCTCTTCAGTTTAGAGATCTGGTCTATTTTCTTAAGGTGTATTCAGAACCTGCTATTTGCACAAAATGCAGAGACAGAATTATGCATGTTATATTGAAATTTATATATTTGATTTTAAAATATCTGTGGGACTCTCAGAAGGAATTTCATAGTTGCTGAGGTTAACTGCTGATCCAGGTTGTTTTACTTTGGCCTGCTTTTTTCTTTCTTTCAGAAAAAAGTCGCAGATCATCCAAATCGGACTCCATCTATATGGCTTGCCATGTACCGAGCTTTTGGACGGCCCATTCTACTGAGTAGCACATTCCGCTACCTGGCTGACTTGCTGGGCTTTGCTGGACCTCTCTGTATTTCTGGCATTGTTCAGCGGGTGAATGACACCCAGAATGGGGCAAATAACTCAGCAGGAGTGAGTTCATGGCATTTTTGAAAAGAAAACATACTGTTGTCTGATTTTGGTGTAATTGTCACTTTTTATTAACGCAATTTTTTGAGTAATTCAAATAGACTTATTTACAGAGAGTTGAATGTTTTTTAAAAAATAAAACAATAATTTTCTTGCAGAAAAAAATCATGTATATAAATATGCATATATATACTTATATATAAATGTATCTGGCAAGCAAAATTATTTCTCAGATTCAGAGCCTACAAATATTTGAGAAGCATCTATCTTGTGCCAGGAACCATGTGTATGCATTTCACATTGATTATTTCATTAACTTTTTTTTTTTTTGGTGGTACTAGGGTTTGAACTTAGGGACCTCACACTTGCTAGGCAAGTGCTGTACCACCTGAGCCACACACCCAAATCTTTTTTGTTTTAGTTTTTCAGATAGGGTGTTAGCCTTGGACTACAGTCTTCCTACCTGTGCCTCCTGGGTAGCTGGGATTACAGACATGCACTATTGCATTTTGCTAACATCTATTATTTTATTTGCTCTTTATAGCAATCCTTTAAAGAATTTTTATGCATGAGAACATGAGGCGCGGTTGAGTCAACATTTAAAAAGCCTGTGGCCAATATTATTAGCAGTGTGGTTTATAATATTATGCATTTCTCTTTTCTTACATGATAAAAGCCACCACACTGTTTCACAATGATCAGAGCAAGTCATATGTTGCTTTATTAGGTTCTACTTGGGGGCTGTTAGTAGCAAATGCTATGCATTTGGTGTTATAAATGCATAATACTTTGTTTTCTGTCCTGAAGAGAGTCTGTGTTGTGACCAGCTTGGGCTCGTTTTAAGATAAGAATTGATTTCCCTGGCTGAACAGATCAAATCTCTGTCCCAGGTGGATTGGCTTGTCTTTTTTTTAATTAAAATTTCATTCACTATCAAAGTCTGCATTAGGTGCGACCGCACCAGTGAAGCTTTCTCTGATCATCCTAGTTGGAATTTGACCCTTCTCGGGACTCCCCACTGCTTCTCTAACTTCATGTTGGCACTCATTATCTATGCTGTTCATAATGAAGCATGCAGTATGTATGGACATGCTTATCCTGCTAGGTTATAAGTTCTTTAAACACAATGACTGTGAACTGGTCATATTTGCACACATAGTGTTTAACATTGATAACTAGACATTGATATTTGCAACGTTTAGTTATTATTAAAGTGAATCAGATATTTTCACCATCGAATACACTTTTATGATGTTTTGTCCTGCTGGCCTAATTACATGCAGATGTCTGAAATCACACAGGGTGTTTCTACCACCCTTTTTTCCCTCACATAGTAACCTTGTTTTTTTTCTGAGATGGAATGGGGCCTGTAGGTTTGTATATATCACCATGATAGATGAGGAAGGGACCAGCGGTAGAATTTTACTAGATCTCAATCATAAAAAAATGAAGAATTTACTCATTGCTATGACATGCTTACTTGAGTCTTATCTTTCCTTCTTTTTTATCAAACAAGTTACCGTATGCTATTTTTACAAACAAAACTCAAACAATTTTGTATATATTTTGATGAGCTAGCCATATTTCTACTAAGACAATTTTTCATAAGTCATGTTGTATGTCTGGAATTGTCAAGTAAGTGAAATCATTATTTCCTACTTTTATAATATATAATTTATTTAATATAAATTATGATAAATGAAACTCAGAAAAAGTTTTTAAAAGAATCGTTTAAAAATAATAAGGCTATAGAAATTGTATTTTTGTTCCATCAGTCTTGCTAACCAGCTCTCAGTTTTGTGGTTTCTTCTTTTAAATTAGAGTCTAAATTAACTTCTTTTCCTTAAGCTACTGCTCATTTAACTAAGGTAGAATTTATATTTGCAGGAAATACACTCACTTTTTTTTATAGTTGAAAGTCACCTTTTCTTCTAGGATTAGGCATTTCTAGAAATCTTAAAAATCTGATTGGAATTTTGTGCAGTGATCTAGGTCTCATTTGTATCTTTAGACATTACAGGGGAGGCCAAAATTGCCTTATTGTGTGTTATACACTGCATTATAAGGACACTGAGTTTTTATATTTAAAAATCATGCATTTTTTAATAAATCAGACTGTATATCTGGTAAATGAAAAAACTAGTTTTAATTTGTTTCTTTTTTCCTTTTATGACAAGATTTCCAAAACCCTCTCATCAAAGGAATTTCTTGAAAATCCTTATGTTCTAGCCGTGCTTCTCTTCCTGGCCCTTATTCTGCAAAGGACATTTCTGCAGGCTTCCTATTATGTAACCATACAGACTGGCATCAACCTCCGCGGAGCTCTGCTGGTGGGTACAGGCGAAAATGCCATGCACCATCCAGTGCTGGGAGTGGTAGACGCTTCAGGGTTTATTGTTTTCATTTCGATATTACAGCAACAACACTTCTGGGATTGCTTAATGAAAGAAAGAGTTGACAAACCCATTGAATTAAAACTAACATTTAAGGAAAATATTTAGAAATCTTGCATTTATTTGTCCCTATGTCTGTTCTTGAACTTATGTTTAAAGATGAATGTAAGTTTTGATTTATTGCTAGAAAAAATAAATTCTCATTTAACTGAGGGCAAAAAAGCAACTATGCTAACAGGAATAGTAGTAGATTTAATATAACTACCTTAAAGGATTATTTTCATTTTCTTTAAAAAATTTTAAAATGTCATTTATTTCAATGAAAATAAATGCACAGTTGATTCAGAGATTTATGTACATTTTTTTCTTGCAGGCCATGATCTACAATAAAATCCTTAGGCTCTCTACATCTAATTTATCTATGGGGGAGATGACCCTGGGACAGATCAACAACCTGGTTGCCATTGAAACTAATCAACTCATGTGGTTCCTATTTTTGTGCCCCAATCTCTGGGCTATGCCTGTTCAGGTAGATAAATGTAAATAAGATTCTTGTTTGGAAATAAAGCAAAAAGAGCAAGAGATATTTAACTAGATAAGTGAAGGATTGTTGAATATGCTAATACTATTATACCCTTTTTAATTTTTATTTCATTCATATGTGCATACAGTGTTTGGGTCATTTCTCCCCCCTTCCCCCACACCCTCCCTTGCCCCCCCTGCCCCCTCCCTCTCCTCCCCTACCCCCTCGCTACCCGGCAGAAACTATTTTGCCCCTATCTCTAATTTTGTTGAAAAGAGAGTATAAACAATAATAGGAAGGAACAAGGGTTTTTGCTAGTTGAGATAAGGATAGCAATACAGGGAGTTGACTCACATTAATTTCCTGTGCATGTGTGTTACCTTCTAGGTTAATTCTTTTTGATCTAACCTTTTCTCTAGTTCCTGGTCCCCTTCTCCTATTGGCCTCAGTCGCTTTAAAGTATCTGCTTTAGTTTCTCTGCGTTGAGGGCAACAAATGCTATCTAGTTTTTTAAGTGTCCTACCTATCTTCATATCTCCCTTGTGGGCTCTCGCTTTATCATGTGATCAAAGTCCAATCCCCTTGTTGTGTTTGCCCTTGATCTAATGTCCACATATGAGGGAGTACATATGATTTTTGGTCTTTTGGGCCAGGCTAACCTCACTCAGAATGATATTCTCCAATTTCATCTATTTACCAGTGAATGATAACATTTCATTCTTCTTCATGGCTGCATAAAATTCCATTGTGTATAAATAACATTTTTTAAATCCATTCATCAGTAGTGGGGCATCTTGGCTGTTTCCATAACTTGGCTATTGTGAATAGTGCTGCAATAAACATGGGTGTGCAGGTGCCTCTGGAGTAACCTGTGTCACATTCTTTTGGGTATATCCACAAGAGTGGTATTGCTGGATCATATGGTAGATCAATGTTTAGCTTTTTAAGTAGCCTCCAAATTTATTATACCATTTTGTACACAAAGAAAATGAGACTGGAAGTGTGAGGCATAGGTTAAGAAGGTGGGATTTGCAGTTACACTGCTTGGATTCAGATGTCTGATCTCTGCTTGTTTAACCTCCCAGGCATCACTTTGCTTGGCTATACAATGAGAATAATAGGAGTATTCACCTCAAGTTCAGAGATATGTCCATTTTAAATAAGTCAATATGTATAAATTATTTAGCAACAATGCCCAGCTGCTCACAGGCAGTCAGTGATTATTGTCACTGATAATTGTCCAAATTCACACAAGTCACAAAGCCAAGGTCTGACCCTTCCATTTTGACAAACTCTTTTATTGCATTTCTATCTTTTATTGTTTTTTAAATTTTTATTAGCATATATTAATAATACAAGGTGGTTTCACTGTGATGACTCCATAAATGTGTATAGTGTACTTTGGACAAGTTCATTTCTGTTATATTCTCAGAACCTCCCTTCTTATTGCATTTCTAAACTGTAGCAATTGCTTTAATCCAGTCCTTTATTTCAGTAGCTAGTACATTACAAAGTGCCAGTCTTTAAGGGTGATGGGAATGCAGACAAGCTTGAAGGCTACTTAGTTATTTCCTATGTAAAACAGCATTTTAGTAAAGATATGTAGTTTTTTCCCATTGGGTAAAAATGGCAAAAGACACATGCTTGGGTTTTTCTTCACTGTCAGAGATGATACTTTTAATTATCTCAAGTTTTTCATCCTGTAGAGGGAGTTTAAGGTGTAGATCTCAATTTACACAGTCTACAACATATCCTCATGCACTACATTTATTAAACTACATAAAATAAAATATGTGCTACTTTTAAATTTAATTTTTTGTGTTTTATTTTTAATAGAAAGTCAAGTAAAAATGTGTGTCATACATAGTACATGGAATAAAAGTAAGATCTATACTTTGCCTCATTTTTCAAAATGTATTCATATATAGACCAATTAGGTAGTTGCCTGTATGTTGTGATTTATAAAGAACAAAAGTCCCAGGTTGCACTGAATAATTACATCTTGAGTGACCTTAAGGAATATTTTGTTTTTGATTGTAATTCCCTAAATTCCTTATTGGCTAGGCAGTAAACATGTCACTGACACCAGAAAGCTGTTATCATCGACAGATAGGCATAGATTATATGTTTGAACTTCATGGGTGTGGTTCATTCATTGACATTTTGACCCATGATAAATCGAGCTTCTGGAAGGGGGAGGGGGAATTCGAGGAAGGAGGATAGTAGGGTTGAATCTGAATTTTGAAGCAAGTGGCAGACCAGAGAGGATAGGCATAAATAGCTTACCCTTGAGCTTTGGGAAATGTTAAAAGATAGATGAACTAGAATGGAGAACCAGCTTTGATTCTTCACAGTTTGGGTTGGTTCTCCTTCTTGTCATTAAGTAAGTAAAGAGCTGTAGTCCACAAACAACCATCTTTACTCACTCATGATGCTGCTTTCTACTTGCCATTTGTATAGTTTTGAAAAGCTGGTGCAATTTCAAGAGACTAGGGAATGTCAAATTTATGGTAGATGACAGCGTTTTCTAAGTTTTTCATGTCCCTTTAAAAATTGAAGCCTTCTTCATAAGGTTAGAATCATCACAGAGCCACTCTGAAATTTTAGGCAATAAATTGATTTGACACCAGTTATATAAATCATAATGCTGAAAAGATATTCCCAACTCTTAGCCTTCCCTGAATAAATTATAGTAAACCCACAGCTGTCACAGTTGAGATGACTTCCAAATAAACTTAATCTATTTATTGAGAAATACTACATTTTCACAGAAAGATTTCTTCTTCTACAGTGGTTCCCACAGCCCCATTCACTTTCCCTGTTCCATATGATTCTCTTCCCAGATCATAATGGGAGTGATTCTGCTCTATAATTTACTTGGATCAAGTGCATTGGTTGGTGCGGCTGTCATTGTGCTCCTTGCTCCAATTCAGTACTTCATCGCCACAAAGTTGGCAGAGGCTCAGAAGAGCACTCTTGTAAGTAACTACTCTTGGAAAATTTATTAGGAAACTCTAGCAAGGCTGTTTTATTTTCACACTATAGGAAGTTAAGACATGTCACTTAGATAATTTAGAAATCATTATATTTCATTTCAACTCTTAGGTAGTCAATGTGTAATTTTTTTTTGTATTGCAAAAGCAATTTTTAAAAGTGGAATGGAAAGACTTGACTATCTTAGACTGAAAATGCAGTTCTTGATGTTTTTAAGTCCCACGAAGTGATAAGCTTTTGGATCATCTTTTCAATCACTTTTCCAAAGGATATTCTTTTTATTGTTGTTCTTGAGGTACATTGTGGCATTTACAAAAGTTCTTACAATATAACAAAAATATATCATACTTGAATTCACCTTCTCCATCATTCTTCTTTATCCTTCCTCCCCCCATTCCTGGAATAGTTTCAACAGGTACCATTCTTCTACTTACATACATTTGTATACAGAATTTGCACCATATTCACCTTCCTGCACCTTTTCCCCACATCCTCTCCCCTCCCACTGGTACCAGCCCTCCCAGACAGGATCTGTTCTTGAGTGTACTTTGAGATCATTGCATGAAATCTATGAAGAATCAATGAACAAGTGAGGGGTCACATTTGGTGCTTTTGAAATTAAATTTCTCTAAGGTAGACTCAGAACATGTGATGACTATCAAGTTGCATTGACCTATTTAAGGATCAGCTGCTTTGCCTCAATGTGTTCACGGTCAACTTGGGAAGGAGGGAAAAGTCCAATCATTGACCCTTTGTGGGCTCAGTTTGCCACGAAATGATTTTACTGGAGCTAGAATTGGCTTCTTTTAAAGAATTATTTGCTAATAGTAAGCTTGTTGGCAGCATATTTAGAAATAAAGCTTGATTAAATCAGTGACACTGGGTGTAAATCAGGCATAAAATGTAGAGATGCTGCCACTGGCAGAATTATTTCTCAAACTGGTATTTCCACTGGGACAAACCAGTTAATTGTCACACAAGTGGTTTCTATCACTTATTTTTCTGCTGCTTCTGGTAAGGTTACTCATTTCTGTGTTCTGTTCTTCACCTCCTCTGAACCATTTGCCTTTTTTACCCCATACATACATACAGACAGGTATGGAGGTTAGATTCCTCTCAGACATCTGCCTTTGATTTAGCTGTTCATACCACATTCGTTCACTCATTAAACAATCATTCGGTAGGCATTTAAGACCCTGTAGAAACAAAAGGAGGACTAAAACAGAGCTCATTTGTTTGTTTTGCTTGCTCCTGTTTCCCTTTTGGTCACTCTCTTATCCCATTTGCTGATTGACAGGTCATGTTGCATCTTATTAGTAATTCTAGCATACTATTTGGTGGCAAAAGAGGCTAAACAAACAACTGATCAAATTGAGGAATTTGTGCCTGCTAAAAATCTCTATAATTAATCCAAGTTGTTAGTTTCCAGTAAATCTGATTGAGGCCTTAAATTGGACCTTAAAAAGAAGTTTATAAAAACCTCTTGAGGTTAAAGATGATAGGCTTCATTTCAATAACTGTATTGTGTGAATTCATACTACTTTGTACCCTCACATTCCCAAATAAGAGGCAAACTAACATTTAAAAAAGCCATTGTTTTTCTTTTTCTAAGTATGCATGACACTGTCAAAGGGAGAATAAAATAATTTTGATGTTAGGAATCATTGTAAGTCTCAATTATTTCTTAAAATGTATGTCTATAAGATCTGCGTATTTATTCAAGGAAATCATCTTAAACTGAACCAACTGTTTTTATATAAACCAAAGCAATAGAAATATACATGTTTTAAGAGGAGGAAAAATTTTGAGGTCATTTTGTGACCTCTTCGCTTTGAAGTTGAGAAGATGGGAGCATAGGGAGTTGAACTATTTCTTCTGGGACTTTCACAGCCTCATCAGTGGCAGAGCCAGTCTGAAATCACCATCTCCTTAACCTCTGTCCATTGTGTGGTCCTGCCTTTCTGGCTCACTTAAATGAAGCTTGCATTATCTTTTATTGCTTTGTTTTATAGGATTATTCCACTGAAAGACTGAAGAAAACAAATGAAATATTGAAAGGCATCAAACTTCTAAAACTGTATGCCTGGGAGCACATTTTCTGCAAAAGTGTGGAGGAAACAAGAATGAAAGAACTATCTAGCCTCAAAACCTTTGCCCTTTATACATCACTGTCCAGTAAGTTACCATTGCTCTGAGAATGGGTGATGTTAAGAGTAATCAACAAGCACAGTCCATTCAGCTTAGACCATGATCAAGGATGCAGTCTAGTTATTGAAGGAAATGTATTTTCTTAGACATGTGCTGAACAGTAGTTACTAGCTACATGAGCTGTTTCCATTTAAGGCACAGGCACAGGTTTAGAGTCAAGTAGACCTGGATTTGATTTCTTTCAAATTATGTACCCTTAGCTATGTTACTTTACAAATGGAAATCCTTCATTTCTTCATCTGTAATATGAAGATGGTGATGATATTAGTACCTATAAATAAAAACTTTGTGTTGGTTACAGTTAGGATGAGTAGCTGGTTTTTTGGTAAAAAAATTTATTGGGTTAATTTGATTACATTATTATTGACTATTTTATCCCCAAAGATCCTTTAAAACTATCTACAGTTGTTTTGATTTTAAATCTGTCTCTTTGGAAGTTTATGATTTTTTTAAATATTGTATATGAAATACCATTTTTAAAAATTGAGGAGAAAAATGTCTTTTCCAAGTGTGAAAGAAGGCAAACTTCATTCACATAAATCTGGTTTTCCAATATGTTTTTGAGAATTTTTAAACACTGTCTTTTTTTCTCCATGTACTCTCAAGAATAATGGGTTCATGTTCCTATAATTTACACAACCTTAGTCAACTCCCCTATTCTTACAGGATTTGATTTTTATGTCAGTTTTGCTCATCCTTACTAGTAACAAAGACTTTAACAGCTTACAGATTTGGAAGTTTGTATATTGGTTTCTCTTGAGTTATAAATTGCTTTAGATTTGAGAGATGACAGACATTTCCTTTGTAAAATATATTTACAGGAAGTATTGAGTGCACACTCTGTTCTCCATAAAGTACCTGACTCAAGTGCCTCATACTTATTATCTCATACAGAGCACCTTGGTGAATTGTCTAGTGTTCAATAACCTCTGTGCTCATTTCCCTCATCTAAAAATTGGTGTGATAAATCTGGGATAAAGCTTAGTGTTAGAGCACTTGCCTAGCATATGCTCTAGCATATGCTAACCCCCCAAAAGAAAAGACAAAAAATAAAATTAAAATTAAATAAAAGTTGATCTAATAGTATCTTGTGATACTAGTTAGTGAATGTTAAAGTATTTGATGAGTAGTGTTTGTAGAACACCATGCAGGCTAAAAATATATAAAGAAAGGAAAAACCCAACAGTGCAAGGTAATGAATGCTTTGGGTTCCTGGATGGTAAGTTGACCTGAAATGAAGCCCTGGCTCTGTAACTTGTGAGCTGTATGACCTTGGTTGGTTGTGTGGTGAAGTCTATTTATTCATTAGTAAACTGGATGTTAATAGCACATTGGGGAATTAATAAGGTATGGTTATGTTGTGTTTAGAAATGTTATCTACAACTGTTAAAAAGAGAATTTAAACAGAACACCTACTACTGGAAGTGAAGATTCACTTCTTTGATAGTCAGTGTTCTTGTCACTTGAGATATGTGAGGGGAAAAGAAACTATTCAACACTTTGTCTTTCCTGCCAAATGATTATATGCTGTTTATGGGTTTAACTCATTGGTGAAGGTAAAGAAGATACTGCTTTGTTTTTCTCTCTTCACTTTGATGTTTCATATGGAGAAATAGGGTGACAGGAGTCACAAAAGAAGGCTGAGGCAGAAAATGGCTCTTCCTCTATGCTATTGTGAATCTCAGATCAGTGTTTTGATCCCCAGTACTGTGCAAGGATTTGTATTGGATAACTAAGTCGCATCTAGACTTGAGAAAGTACAGTCTAATTTTGTCCTCCTGTGTAGTGATGAGGGTGGTTCATGAGACCAAATGAGTTTTTACATCCAAGCCCTCTACGTGGAGCAAAGGAGGATATAGCTCTCATGGTACCAAGCCTATATCCATGTAATTCACTTTATCTTTTGGGCCCTTTATCCCTAAAATCATATGATTTCTGAACAGTGTAACTTGCAAATCATCAACTTGGCTTTTGATCTACACTATGATCCAAATGCTAGTGTGTTAGCTGAAAATACAAGTTTTCATTATTTTTTCTATGTGTATCACATTTATCAAATTATGGTGAAATAGATTCCTGGAGAGATAGTTAAATAAGCACAGTGTCCAAGATATGGCATTATTTTATTAACTGAAAGGTATATAGGTAAAAATTAATGTCACTGATGGAAAGAGAACTTGAAACATTTTAATTTGCATAATAACCTAATTTTCATATAGTTAAATTAGTTTAGTGAACCAAGCAAAATATAGACTGTAAACTCTCCCAAGAATGCACATTTGTTAAATTCTAATCATTTGCAACATTGAATGATTATTTTATTCAAATTCTGTTGTTTGTAGCATTCCATAAGAATAAAACCTATTTCTCCAATAAAGAAAAACAGATTTCGCTTAGGGAGCATCTATAAACACTGACAAGGACATACCTCTTGGGAAATGTCTGTGGCCTCCTGACAAAATGTTATTTAATGTACTTTGTCCTTCCTGTCTTTAAGGAAAGTTAGTCATAATAGATGATTAATTAAAATTACTGAAAAGTTCTTGCAGTTTAGTGAAACTAATGTGTTTGCTTTCTTTCTACAGTCTTCATGAATGCAGCAATTCCCATAGCAGCTGTGCTTGCTGTAAGACACTTTTTCTTGCTTTGGGAAACAGAACCAAGTCAGTGTTATTAAGTGATTTATGAAAAGAGTGTGTAGGTGATATATATATTTCTTCACTTCTGACCCTTCCTTCTTTACAGTTTCCATGGCACAGAGCTATTGTTCTGACCTAATTTTTCAGACATTTAATACTTTGTCATAAGAGAGTCTTCATCATGTTTGGCCCCTTCCCTGACTTCTACCAACTAGATGTCAGTCATGACAATAAAAAAAAAAAGTCCCCAAACATTGGCAAATGTCTGTGGAAAGCAAAATTCGTGATGGTTGGGAACTAAGTGTTCTGATCTCAATCCTCTAACAAGCTAGTGTTAGGTCAACAACCAGAAATGTTAAAAGTAAAAAAAAAGTTAAATGTAAACTTTATATTTAATGTTAAATTAATAATAATATTAAATTAATATAATGTTAAATTAATTAAGTGTTAAATATTTTTTAAAAACCATTGTATTTTACACTAAAATGACAATCTCAGGAACTGGTATAATTTTTAGAAATATAAATAAATAAGTCTTCATTAGATACTAGTCCTGCAGTTTTAGTAAAGATTCACAGTATGGACCCTTAATCAGTAAAACCTTCTCTCTTTTTCTCTTGGAATATTTATGTTGGTTGGTTAGAGAGAACCTGGCTGCTTGTTAGGAATTCTGAGTTCTTTACCCACTTACCACCCTCTCTCCCAATCAGTAATTGGACAGAAATCACTTTCCTATTGTGTAAATAGAATCTGTCCTGACTTTCTCACAAGTTTACTGCTAGACTGATGTGAAAATCACCAAGTAGTCACCAAGAGCAAATACTGTTTTAGTTAGGGAGTTTTGGATAAGGTAGTGGTTGTCATAGTTGCAAGGGGCATATTGGCACAGCAGAATCTATCAGGTTTGTCGAATGAAATGTAAGCATGTGTGTAGCTTTCTCTGCTCTCTCTAAAGAAATCCTTTGTTTGCACAGACGTTTGTGACTCATGCCTATGCCAGTGGGAACAACCTGAAACCTGCAGAGGCCTTTGCCTCCCTGTCTCTCTTTCACATCCTGGTCACACCACTCTTCCTGCTCTCCACAGTGGTCAGATTTGCAGTGAAAGCCATCATCAGGTATGCACAAAAGTATCTGGAATTTTTAGCTTCTTGGTTATAGAAATAATATGTGCTCCTGGTAGTAAACTTGAAAAGTATTACAAAGCATGAAAATCACTGGCCAGAGATAACTATTGATAAAATTTGGGTATGCCATCTGTCAGTCTTTTATTTATTTCTTATAGAATAATTATTAAAAATAAAAATTTTGAATTTCTATGGTTTTTTGCTTCCTATTTCACTTCCTATTTTTATTACTTTCTCTGCATTAAAGTTTTATAGTACAAAGTGTTTACTGGCTGTATGATGATCCATTGTTTGGAGATAGTCTACCTTACTTAATGATCACATTTTTGTTAGACAGTGTGTTTTTTTTTCTCTCTAACATCCATAACATTGAGGTGGACATCTTCTCTCATCCTTGCCCTTGTCTCTGATGGTTTGCTTGGATCAGATTTCTAGAAATGATGATACTAGTTCCACGTCACTGAGGTACTAAGAGAATGTGGCTATGTTGCTTTCCATTGAAATGGTGGTAGGTCAAAAGCTGGTTATTTATGAATATTGTCATGTTTCCCATTGGAGCCACACCAGTTTATATGTACACTAGGAGGGACAGAAAATTTTCATATCAATGGTACATATATTCTGTTTTGAGTTTTGTTTAATCTGGAAATAAAAAGAAAATCCAGGCTCAGAGTGTCTGAAAATGAGAAGACTTGCAAAACCATTTAGTATATTCTCATTTAAACCTGCTTCTATAGGATTTCCAGCAAGCGTAGACTTTGCCTTGCCCATACTTTCCTACAATGTGTAACTATTGAAAGAGGTGTGATATGATAATCACCTTCCCCACCCCTTTACCACATTATGCAAATAAGGAGGTCACCAAACTGCATTGCACTACATTGTCTGTACCATCATCTCCTGTGTTGTAAAGACGGCAGTCTTAAAGTAGTACTTTGGCTTTTTTTCTGTTCAATATTTATAAATCATATAAAATCTCAGCATGTTTCATGAATGACCTGACTCTTTTTATATCTTTTATATATAAAGCATATATATAAAAGATATAAAAATATATCTTTGATTCCATTGCCTAAATGTTGTAATCCTGAAGGAAAATTGGGAAATTGGCTCCTTAGATATACAAAATATGATGTTTCTATTGACAGCAATGCTGAATATCTCTTGCAAAGTATTCTTTTAAAATGAGATAATCTTCCCAGTGTCTCTGTATTGCTGAGAAAATTAGTATGTGATGTTCAAAACACCAATGTTCCAGTTTTACGATAATTTACATTGACTAACCAGTGGCATAATTCCAGATAGTATTAAAGAGCATATAAATTATTCTATCATACATCAAGTTTTGATAGGATATGCTGTGATTGTAATGTATCTTCAATCCTGTTCTCTAAGTTATGTCTTTGGGAACAATTCAGAAGTTGTTAAGAGTTTCGAGTTTTAGTCCTCTGGCCTCGGCTGCCCTCATTTTCTTTTCTTATTGTTCTGCATCTGAACCACTTGCATAGATCACTGGCTGTACTTTGTAGCACCACTTCCAAATTAGGCAGTGCTCTGGAAGGGAAGCCACTTCAAACAATAAAATTGATAAATGGCCAGAGTCTGCTATTTTGGTCCTTATTTTCATTTTCTCTGTTTAACAGCTATCCCTTTCATGGTTGCAATATTAATTGGAATTTGACTTTGCACTAGGAGTAGAGATAAAAAGCAGTTGATAACTTGTAACACATAACTCCTCTGAAACCAAGAGGTTGCCCAGTATCGGAAAGATTTTAAATATGTGCAAGGTCCTGGGTTCGATCCCCAGCACGAAGAAATAAAAAAAAAGAAGACTTTTAAAGTTGATTTTTAAAAAGATAAAAGAAATCTAAAGGTTTCTCTCAAATGTGTAGCATACAATTCTGCTGCAGGGAGTCCTCGTACAGTTGAGGGTGAATAATCTCCCCTGTGTATGTCTGCATAGCACTCGCCCTTCTGTGTATCTCAGGGAAAATGCATTTGCCAGTTTGATAAACACCAGTCTGTTTTCAGGGCTCAGCTCCAAATTTTCCAAGCCATAGGCCAAATATAATCTGCTTATAAATACTTGCTTCTCTAAAATGGCTTTCAGTGGTTGATTTGCGGGTGCTACAGAGATGGTCAGTCAACAGAGGAGGCCAGGCTTTTCCCCACCGTGTGCTGGTTCTGGGAACCCAAGGGAGTGTTTTCCCAATGTTGACTGGGCTCAGCATTTACTTCTGTGCCTGGGAACCCATGACCAGTCTTTGACGCCAGTTGGCGCACAGTGAGTTTAGCAGCCTGTTTATAATCGGAGACTTTGGTCAGCTGATTTAGAAATCTCCTGTCAGGACTGTGGAATTCAGAAGATCTTTGCTGTCCTCTTAAATGTATTCAGAAATTTGGTGGATTAGAATGAATTGAAACACACTCCCTGCTTCATGTCATACATGTATGTAAGAAGCTTGGAAGGTATTTTACTGGAGGAAAATGTCATGCCATGTAAAATATTCTGCTCCAGGAAAATTCTAGAATTTCTTTTGAAAAGATGTATATCTTTTGCAAATGTTGCTTTTGTGGCATTCATTGAGTGGGACCACGTGTGCGTATATACTTATAATACGTATGCATGCATAGAATATATATGTATGTATTGTGTAATAAAATGGAAGAAAGAGGCAAATATGATTCTGGTTGTCTCCTTACTCTGAGTAATGTTCCACATCTCTTGAATTTTCTGGACCTTTTAGAATGAAGTGTTGCAGAGTAAAGAAAAGACCCATTAAAGATTTTAAATAGTTGAACAAGAATGATTTCTGTTTTGAGATGGCTAGTCTCACTTCTCCACTTTTTATTTGTTAGGAAATAATTTATATGTTCTACTCTTGTAGAGGAAAATATGTTGTATCCCTTAAGAATAATTTGAGTTTAGGTATTTGGTGTTTGATGCATATGTAGTATCTGTATCCAAGATGTTATTTGCCAAGGGAAAAGAAGCTTGAAATGAATCCCTCTCTTTTTTAGGGAAAAATTTTGTCTTTTCTCTCATGTTCTTCCCAGAGGAAATTATGCTTGGCTAGTCTGCTGCATTATCTTCAGTCAAATAAATGGTTATTGATATTTATCATAGAACATGATGACATTTTGACCTTACAAAATTTCATAATTCCTGTGAGAAACCATGTAACTTTTTCCTGATTAATATAGTACTTGTCCAAGGTACTCAAGCTGTCTATGCTTAAATACTCAAAGTGACATTAGAGAAATAAAAAAGTAACATGTATTTAAAACCTTGAATACTTTTGTCTGTATTCTAAACAAATGAAAAATTATTAAAATACTGAAGTGTAAAGGTTGTGGAGGCAGGACAGCTATGACTGACATCAAATATACCTGTTTTGGAGCTATGCAGGAATAGTCAGTATTCAACATCGAGCATGTTGGTGAGTGTCTCTGCAGCTCAGCTTTCTCACTTATCAAATATCACCTGCCATGGCGATTGAGAAAAATAAGCAAAGTAATTCATAAAAAGTGCCCAGGACATTGCCTAAATATGGTAGGTATCTTACAAATCTCCATTTTATTAATTCACCACCTTTTTACCCACTTCCCATCCATGCATTCTGTGGGTCTACTTTCATCTACTAATGCTTCAGGTAAATGACTAGGCATTGGTGATCACAAAGATGAGAGGTAGCTGGAAACACAGGGATTTCACAGTTGAATTGAGAGGCCAAGAAGGAAAACTAATTCCAGTGTATTGTGTTATATTGTTATAAAGCTATACACAAAACACCGTGGGATTGTATAGGAAGACTGTTGAAGTTTATTGAGAGAGAAGGGGAATTGTCTAGTTAGCAAAGGTCTGAAGGAGGTTGTGGGTCTTTCCTGAACTCTTAAAGAGCAAAATATTCAAGTGGAAGGGGTGAAATCATATGAGAAATCTTGGTGTATTCAGGAGATTGGAAGTAGTTCTGTGTTGGAAGAGAAAAGATTCTCTTACAGAAAATATCAGGGATTGAAGCTGCAAAGTAAAGACTGGTCAGCTTTAAATGATGCTACCGAGGCTGAAACACAAAGGGTGGCATTTGTTATTTTAAGAGAAGAATTCTTACATGAATTAATTTGCATTTTAAAAATACAACCCTGGTCACGTGATGGAAATTACTTCACCCTTGGTCAGGATTCATGCATTTTCCATAGTTACTTTGCCTCTGTGGTTCCTGAAAGGACCTCATATGAACAGGAAATGCTTTTTGTTTACCCATTGATTCATTCACCAGACATTTCTTAAGGAATTACTATGTTATATTTTAGTTATTAGGGCTAGAGTCTGAAAATGAAATTTTTGCCCTTAGGGAGTTCATAATCTAATGGGAGAGAGGGATATGCAACCGACAGTAAGCAATGACAACATAGTACAGGAGGTCTTTAGCCCAGGGAGGGGAAAGGAGAGGTTCAAGGATGGGTTAGCTTTGGAATCTATCAATGTTCATTGTAATTGGAGTCTCCAAATGGATGTTACCAAGAGAAGGGAAAGGTCTCCCCACCCCCAGTTAATCTCAGGGATCATTGCTTCCTGATGTTCAGCAAGAATGGAGCTCATTTATGCTATAAAAGCTTCAGTAAGATTTACATGTATACTAGAAAAGTGAAATGGAGAATTAAATCAACCAACTTTAATGTCTAAATCATTAGTTTATTTCCTCTTTGATTCATTGAACAAACATTCACAGAGAACATATGCCAGGCGCTGCTAGACTAGGAGCTACAAAGACATATGAGCTTGGTTGGGACTTTCCCTTGTATTCAGAGGTGTCCTAGGGGTTGTTTAAAAGGTATCTCTGTGACCGATAAAGCTGTACTCCCTCAAATCAGGTCTGTTTAAAATGTAAGAGCAGAATGACAACCAAATCTGTAAAAGTAAGGAAAGAATATCTGCCATTTAAGATAGGTAAAGAGTCATTGTATAAGGGATTTCTAATGCTGTCTTTCAAGTCAGACTTTGCTAACTCAAAGGGAACAGCAAGCCAAAACTCTTCTTAGACTATTTTGTCTGTTAGTTAAGTGCAAGCTTATGGTTAGAAGTGCCCCAATGGATGTGTCTTATTTTTTTTTTCCCCTTGTGGTGCTGGGGATAGAACACAGGGCTTTACTTATGCTAGGGAAGTACTCTACCACTGAGGTACATCCTTAGTCCTGCAGTGGGTGTTATCTACCCATATATTTCTACAGCATGCAAAACCAAAGGATTTGAAAATTAATGTCAATAGACTGGTGGCTCACGCCTGTAATCCTAGCTACTCAAGAGGCAGAGATCAGAAGGATCACAGTTCGATCTCTGGCAAATAGTTCGTAAGACCCTATCTTAAAAAAACCCTTCACAAAAACAGGGCTGGTGGAGTGGCTCGAGGTGTAGGCTCTGAGTTCAAACTCTACTACCACCAAAAAATTATTTTTGTATGAGCATGTCACAAAAATAAACTTGGTAGACCTGTCTGGAAGCACTAAACTTGACTATTAGCACTAATGAAATTTGAAAATAAGCAAATAAATGAACTTTTCACTTTAAATATGTGCTTTCTAGTTCCCTGTCAAAGGCAACACTCCTCTGTAGTTTGTGCTGTGTACCGAGCAAGTTTATCTATTTTTAATATCCTAGCATACTAAAAGTGCGTTTCTTTTCCTCTAAAGCTTCACAGGATTTTCTTGAGCATATTATTTTATTTATAGGAGAATATTTTCAAACCATATTGCTTTTTATTAGCATTATTTACTTGCTTTTGTTCTGACCCATGATGCTGGTTTGAGAAAATCAGACTGAGAAGGATGTCTTGTGCCTGGCCTAAGGAGACTATAGTAGAGAATGTTTGCAAACCAGTCTTCTAGAACCAGGTCTTCCAAACCGGAATGTGCTTACAAAGCACCTCTTGATATTGTTAAAATGCATATTTTGATTCATATGTTGGAGTGGGGCCTGTGTTTCTCCATTTCTAATAAGTTCCCAGGTGAGGCTGTTGGACCTTGGGCCACACTGAATAACAAGACCCAAGAGTGCCTAAGCAGAATAACACAGTGGTCAGAAACTCTCTCTGGGTATATCATGTGATGAATGCTTTTTTTCTTCTTCTTTTTTTTACTGTTGTGCTGGGGGGTACATTGTGACATTTACGTTGAGTCCTTACAATACATCAAATACATCCAGCTTGAATTCACTACCTCCCTCATTCTCCTTTATCCCACCGCCCCTCATTCCTGGAGTAGTTTCAACAGATCTCATTTTTCCTTGTACATACATGTGTACACAGTATTTGTTCCATTTATGTTTTTTAGACATGTTCCTTAATTTGTTAGTCCTTTAATACCTGTTATTTGTAAAAGTAGAATTATATGAGTATCTCCCCTATGTGGTAATATTATTTCTAACCACTTATCTTACTCTACTCTCTTTGACAAGGAATACCATTGAAAAATAAAAACAAAAACAAAATGCAGATGGAATTTTGAATTTGGGATGGTCAGTGGTCCTGGTTTTCTTGAGATTTTTCTTGTATTAGCACTGAAAGTCTTATGTCCTAAGAACCACTCAGTTCCAGCTGATCTTGAAAATGACTCAGAGACAGCTCACTCACCATTATACTGAGCGAGGGGAGGACTGTTTGATAAGCTGGTATTTTTATTGGTAGTGGTTTTGTTGTTGATCCTTGTTTTGCGTTTGCTTTTTGCAGTGTTCAAAAGCTGAATGAGTTTCTCTTGAGTGATGAGATTGGTGATGACAGCTGGCGGACTGGTGAAGGCTGTCTGCCTTTTGAGTCCTGTAAGAAACACACTGGAGTTGTAAGTGCTTTTTTTTTTCTTGTTATGGGAGCTGTGAATAGATGACCGTGTCAGTAGAACAGATGGTTTAATGTAGGAGCAATTAGAAGAGACCATAAGCTTTCTTTTTAAAATTTATATAAAGAAAATTTCCTTCTACAAAAAACTTCACAAATCTAAAACCAATAAACAAGTCTATAAAGCTTGTCTATAAATCATGAAAGAATTACCCCAAGATGAACAACACATATTCAATTCAAAAGGAAGCTAAGAAGTTGCTTACTATGAGAAGTTGTTTACTAATATTTATTTTAAAATTATAGAAAATAAGCCTACTATGCCTACACTAATATTTATTTTAAAATTATAGAAAATAAGCCTACTATGCCTACACTAATATTTATTTTAAAATTATAGAAAATAAGCCTACTATGCCTACACACATTTTAGTGTGTGTGTGTGTGTGTGTGTGTTTGTGTAGGGGTGGGGTGGGACTGTGGTTTGAATTCAGAGCTTCATGCTTGCAAAGAAGGTACTCTACTACTTGAGCCAAACCTCCAGTCCATTTTGCTCTGGTCATTTTGGAGGTGTGGTCTTGCAAATTATTTGCCCAGGCTGGCCTTAAACTGTGATCTTCCCAATGTCAGCCTCTCAAGCAGCTAGGATAATACTCATGAGCCACTAGTGCAGGTATACTTAGTTACATTATGCTTTTTGTCTACAACATGCTTTCTAATGTATTGTGTATTTTGATTTTTATTTCCAGTTGGAAATACATAGTTTGTGTGATTATATGGCTTGAACAAAATCATAAGATTAAAATTGAATTGAAACCCGAGTCTGTATCTTGTGGATCAGTTAGTTTACACACTCTTGACACTAATGTAAACTAAGTATCTAAATAAAATCTGGAAGCAGGCAATATTGTCTTAACATGTATTACCTGCAGCTTGAGTCTGGGTTTTCCAGACTTACTGGTTACGTGGTACTTTGTGCTAGGATGAAGGGGTGTGGGTATAGACAAGGCCCATGAGGTCTTTCCTCTCACAGAATTTCCTTTCATAAGGCAGAAGGCAAATAATAAACCAGTTTAAAAGATAAGATGATCTCACTGCATTGAGAAAATAACAGAGGATATTGGAGGGTGAATGGATATTCAAAGCAGGGTGGTCATTTATGAAAAGACCCCTCTGAAGAGCCAGCACTTGAACTGACATTGAATAAAGAATAGGTGCATGTACCTGCACACCCATGTTTATTGCGGCACTATTCACAATAGCCAAGTTATGGAAACAGCCAAGATGCCCCACCACTGACGAATGCATCAAGAAAATGTGGTATCTATACACAATGGAATTTTATGCAGCCATGAAGAAGAACGAAATGTTATCATTCACTGGTAAATGGATGGAATTGGAGAACATCATTCTGAGTGAGGTTAGCCTGGCCCAAAAGACCAAAAATTGTATGTTCTCCCTCATATGCAGACATTAGATCAAGGGCAAACACAACAAGGGGATTGAACTTTGATCACAAGATAAAAGTGAGAGCACACAAGGGAGATATGAAGGATAGGTAAGACACCCAAAAAATTAGCTAGCATTTGTTGCCCTCAATGCAGAGAAACTAAAGCAGATATCTTAAAAGAAACTGAAGCCAATAGGAGAAGGGGACCAGGAACTAGAGAAAAGGTTAGATCAAAAAGAATTAACCTAGAAGGTAACACACATGCACAGGAAATTAATGTGAGTCAACTCCCTGTATAGCTATCCTTATCTCAACTAGCAAAAACCTTGTTCCTTCTTATTTTTGCTTATACTCTCTCTTCAACAAAATTAGAGATAAGGGCAAAATAGTTTCTGCCGGGTATTGAGGGAGTGGGGGGGAGAGGGAGGGGTGGAGTGGGTGGTAAGGGAGGGGGTGGGGGCAGGGGGGAGAAATGACCCAAGCCTTGTATGCACATATGAATAATAAAATAAAAAGAAAAAAAATTTACCTCTTACAAAGAGGTAAGCTAAACTAAAAAAAAAAAAAAGAAGATAACCTTAAAAAGAAAAAAATGGTAATTTTCTCTCAGAATTATTTTGTCTGCTTTTCTAGAAGGATCTAGTTTTTGTTTACTTCTAAAGTAATTTATCAAATCTTCTTAAATGATGAATGCTAAGATATTGTCCAAATCTCTTCATAAAGAATTGGAGAAAACCAATTAATACTGAACTTCTAGTTAGTTTGAGATCAGGTTAACAAATAATAAAATATTAACATATTTGGAAAAAAAAAAAGAACAGATGCATGTCCTACAAAGGTTTATTGGGAAATGAGAAAGTTCCAGTTAAGAGAACTGGAAGATACAAAGACTTTAAGGAAGGAATTAATTTAGTTTCTTCTAGGAATAGAGAAGTATGGTTGGAGCCTAGTCAAAAAGAGGAAGATGATACACAAAAAAACAGTGATTTGGGATCTTGTAGACCATGGAATGAGCTTGGATTTTACTGACATGCTAGTGGAAGCCACTGGAAGCTTTTAAAGTGGTGTAATTTTGTTCAATTTTTTTAAAAGATCATTTTGCCTAAGGTGTAGAGAGAAGTCAGTGGGGACATAGTGGGACATAATAACAACAGTAAAGAGGTTGTTGTAACAACACGGTGGTTGTTAGATTTAGAGTTCTATTATGGTGGCAGTGGATACTGTGAAGAAATGATCAAAGTCAGAGTACACGTGTGTGTTTGTGTGTGTGTATGTGTAGTGCCGGGGATTAAACCCAGGGCCTTGCCCATGCTAGGCAAGTGCTGTATCACTCAGCTACATCATAATATTGAGGTGATAAAGACTTGCTGAAAGATTGGATGGAGGTGATGAGGGAAAATGAACTAGGATTAAGGGTAGATCCTAGTTCATTGGCTCAATTGCTGGATATATGGCAGAGCTATTTGTTGAAATGGGGAGGCTGAGAAATGAGGAAGTTGGTGTTGAAGTGTAATCAATTTTGCAAATGATCATTTTGCAATACTTATTAATATCCAAGAAAAGACATCAGCAGTGGAGATGTGAATTTATGAGTCATTAGACAGTAGATAACATTTAAGTCAGTGGAAGTAGATAATACCACTTCCTTGAAGTATATGGCTGAAAAATTCTGAAGAAATTAAAAAAAAAATAACTTGTATATTTCCTAACAGTAAAGTAGAAAGAAGCTATTCCAAAATGAGTCACGTTACAAGTTACTGTAGGTTATTCATGTAACTATTGGGAAAATCTGAATACGTTTACCACTTACATGACTCTACAAAATGCACATGCTATCCTCTGACTGGAGTTGAGGGTAACTTGGAAAGCCTTCGCCAGGGAATTAATCTAGATTTCATTTTTCTTCTCATTCTGTTTAAAAATGCTAAAAATAGTTAAGACAAGCACTTGGCTATATTTAGCCTTACTGTTTTCTTTTACTTTTCTTCAGTTACTTTTTACCTTCTTTAATCTGCTTTATTGTGCAGGTCTAATTTTGTCTGAGAAGAAACTACCACAGTGCTTATCCACACTCCCATAACAATACCATTGTGTGGATGTAGACATAAAAACAGGAATACATGAAAGGGTGTCTGCACTTCAAACAGCAGGGAAGTCAGACATTTGATTAGAACCAGTTTTGTCACACTTTGGATGCTCTTAGCCTACCAAAGAGCTCATTACATCACCTTTCAGTGATGTGGGGATGAACAGAGTGAAATAACCTCAAGAAAGGGGCGGGGTAGAGGAGGTCAAGTTCATGAGTTAGGGAAATATGAAGAGATTTCTGTATGAGATGAGGGATAGAAGAAAAATTGAACCATGAAAATATTTTTTGGAAGGAAAAAAAGAATCTCCTTCACTTGCATCCAACATCTTCAGGATTATTGAAACCAGACTGGACTTCTGATGTCTTTCAGGGTCATTCATCACTGCTGATGGGCCAAACCACAAGCAGCAAGCTTTTTTAAATGGGGTGAAAAAAAGCTGTGTGTTTGAAAATAAGACTAATGGAAACTCCTTCTTGAGTGCTCTTAAGATGCTATGTATTCTGTAAGATCTTAGCGTTAAGTGGTTTTGGCTGTAGAATCTCCATGGAGAATTAGGGACATTCAAGGGCCAAAGTCTCTTCAAATTACATCTGTGGAATTCCGACTCAAATCTCTGTCAACACATCTCTTCTTCCCACCCTCTCCTTAGTTTTGTGAAGAGCATGAAGTCATTCCTTTTGGACCTCTAGGGGCAATACTACTACAGAATTAAAGACTCTGTGAATGTTAAAAAGACAGTGAATGTTATATAGGTGTGGAAATATACTCATCATTAAAAATAGTGACATTCTACCACATTTCACATTGTGTACTTCCTAGGTTATGTGTAAGAACAATCGGGAGGAAAACCAAAACAAACATAAAATTAAACCAAATTTAAAAAAAATTAAATCAATCTCTCTCTTTCTCTCTCTCTCTCTCACACAAACACAGAGTCTCATTTTCAAGTTAGAATATGATTAGTATTTTCTATGTGACCTAACCACACTAGTACTTTACTTTTAATTTTCTTAGTTGCTTTTTAAAATCTGTGTATTTGTTTACATCAAGCCTGGCATTGACCTATTTGATAGTTTGATATTCTGTTGGGAAACTAATTGATAGAATTTGGGAAAGCAATATCTTGTTTGGATTAAATTACTGATTATTCAAGAACATTCCGAATTCCCAAAGTAGAATTCAGTGGATTTTTCAAAAGCTAAACCTGTATTCCAGGCCAAAAAAAATAGTTTCACAATTCTAGAATCCTTTGCTTTCTTAGGTAACGTAACAGTTTAGAAGTGTTACTGTTTAGCCTTTATCATCTCTATAAGGTATTTAAATAAGACAGATCATTATTTATATTTCATTATTTATATTGAAATATTTGATCACTGGGTTCCTGGACAAATTTTGAACTTACAAATTTTCTAAATTAGATGTTTACGGAGCTAAATTTTCTACCTTCTCTTTAGAGATTTGCCTATCTCCATCTATGTAAGATTAAACTCAAAATTATAAAATGGGAAATTTGTAGTTATGACCTAAATTATGTTTTCTTTAAATATGTGGAGGCTGTCCCATCTCACCTGGCTTTATAGAAGGGGTGTGTCAGTCCATTGACTAGGAATAGCACTAGAACCTTGGGGGTAGATTACATCCTCTAATGGGCTCATCTCCTTTTGAAATACTTTATGTTGTTTTGTAAAAATCCTAGATTCTTTTACTTTTACCAGTCCACAATAGCTCTTGGTGTGATGTGTAGCTCAATCTGATTTATGTGAATATATCAGATTTGAAATCTTCATGATCCCAAGTAATGTAATGCTAGAATGTTTATAAGCCTGGTGAACCCAACGAATGGATGCTAATTTGACCCGAGTTAGTCTGATTGTTTTTGGACAGAACACAGACTTTTTATTGCTTAGCATAACTATCCATACTGCTACCCTCATTTGCAGCAATCACCATTCATTTTTCACTAAGAGGGTGGCGAATTAGGTTTAAAATTATGGCTCAACATTTTTCCATTATTTGCTTTTTTGGAGAAATCATCTTAAAAAGTAAAATATGACACCCATTTTCTTTTTCTTGGAATTTAAGTGAAGTAGTGATGTGAGTTAATGTTCAGTAAAACCTCAATTTTTTCACAAGGCTTCAACTTGTGTTCTTTTCCATTTGGAATGTGGCAGCCGAAAACTATAAACAGGAAGCAGCCTGGAAGATACCACCTGGACAGCTACGAGCAATCAGCACGACGACTACGTCCGGCAGAGTCAGAGGATATTGCAATAAAGGTTATTTTATTTCTTAGACTCTTAAATGAATAGAAACATTTATGCTACCCTTGTACGCTGATGTTCTGCACAAGTGTTCTAATCGTGGTTTACAGTGGCCACTATCCTAATAGTACTTTGTAAACATTCTGATGAGTTTATCATTTGCACTCTCTCCTCGCAGCCACAGCTTCTGCTGCAGCAGTACATTTGGTAGCTGGACAGATTTTCTTCTGTATCTGTGTCTGAAGCTAGTATCCACTGTAAGCACTACCCTCTACTACCCTTGCGTAAATTGATACATAAAGAACACCAGTGTTATAAATCCGACTTTGAAAGGAATAAATTAGATGTTAATTGTTTTCAACACCTGCTTAAGCCAGTGTTGCTGCTTCAAAGACTGGGCTTCCCAGTATTACATTGTGCCTTTGATCTCATCTCAAACTTGACTTTTGTGCTCTGCCCAGACTGTGTGCTTAGATAGAACTTAGGTAAAGCAGGTAAGCTCAGGAACACATTGGGGCTGATGATTGGGACAAACCCCAGGGAGGGAGGAGCCCAGCTTGTTTGTTGAGATGAGGTCGTAGATTGACTTTAAACTGAAATGCTTCTAATCTCTACTTCCTGAGGAGATGGGGATACAGGCATGACCCACTGGATCCAGCCTAGAAACAGACATTTATATTTTCAGCTTCCTCAAAAATGCCCAGCTTACACACTTGCTGTTCCCTCCTTCCTCTCCCTGGAGAAATTACAGCCACCTTGACTTTTATAGTCATCATTTCCTTAATTATCCTTGTTATGCATGCCTCCCTAAAAATCATATTTTTAGCTCTTTTAAGCTTAAATAAGTATCTCTGTGTTGCTTCTTTTGCTAAATAATATGTGCACATAGTTCATCCATCATCCATGTTGCTATGTGAAGCAATAATTCATTCATTCATTCACATCGTGTTACAATGTACTGTTGTATCGTTAAAACAGAATTCTGCTCTACTTTTGATGACCCTGTGGTATTTTTCACTCTGGAGCTATTGTGAGCAATTACTGAGTTACGGGGTACATGCACCCAACCTTTCCTAAGGTATAGAAACCTGTTTTCCAGAGATTGTGCCAGCTTACTCTTCTACCACTGGCAACCATGAATTCCGGTTGCTTCACATCTTCACCAATGATAAGGATGTTTTGCCACAACTTGTGTGCTGAGGAGCGATCCATGGTTTTTATTTGTGTTTTTCTGAATACTAATGGGTAGAGCACTTTTTCATATACATATGCTCCTCAGCTCACAATGGCTTCCCTTTCAGTAGAACTATCAAAAGTTGAAAGCATCCTAAGTTAAAAATGCATTTAACACACCTAATTCCTGAAATACCATGGCTTAGTGACACAGTGAGCTATAGAGCCGTGCGTGTCCACCTCTGTTCACGTGACTGATAGGAGCTTTGCATCACTGCCTTTTCCCAGTATTGCAAGTAGGAAAAGATAAAAATTCAAAGTACAGTTCCTACTGGGTGGGTTCAGCTTTTCCACCATGATAAAATAGAAAAAACACTATTCGTGGGTAACCATCAATCACCGTGTGTGTGTGTGTGTGTGTGTGTGTGTGTGTGTGTGCGCGTGTGTGTGTGTGTGTGTGTTGTTCATTTCACTTTGGAATACCTTTTTTGTGAATTGCCTTATTTTTTCCTTTTAAAAATTTCTGAATATTGTTTCTTTAGGACACATGTTGTCAAATCCTTCTCTGCTCTGTAGCTTGATTTTCCACTCTGTGGTATCATTCAATGAACGGAAGTTCTTATAATGTAGTTTGTGTGACTTTTCCTTTTCTGGTTTGTACTTTTATCTTTTGGTCATATTTAAGAAAACTTTTCCTACTCAGGTTCTATATCAGGTCCTAAAAGCTTTGAAGCTATACCTTTCACTTCTAGTTCTTCAATCCAGTTGGGACCAATTTTTATGTTTATTTGAGGAAGGATGTGATTTAATAGGTAAACAGTAATAAATGATTTGTTAATTCATGAGTAAGTTATAGATTTAGCTACCGTAAATTTAGCAATAGTCATTTTACTACACTTAGTAGTATATCAAGTGAGGTCTCATTTAATTTTCTTCATATATGATAGCCAATTGCCCTGGTCACATATATTGATCACAATCCCCGTAGATTTTTCATCAGGTATCTACACGTGTGGATCTGTTGCTAGCCTTCATCTTTCTTTGGATTATTTGTCCAGTATTCTGCTGTAATGATCATTATATCTTTCTAAATATTGATGTCTTTTAGAACAAGCTCTTAGACCTTGCTTTTCTTCTTAACTACGCTTGGCCTTTTAGGGGAAAGTCTCAGTGCCCTGGGGCTCACATCTCTGATTTTGTATTTTTTCTTACCTTTTGCTTTGGTATTTCATTACTTCCTGCTCTAATAAGATTTCTTAGAAACTATATTTTTCTCAATATTTTTGCTTACTTTCAAAAGCAGGACAGGGACAATAGCTTGTATAGGCCCTGCTTTTCAATGCTTAAAAAGTTCTTGCAGTAGGAGTGAAATTCACATGAAACACAATTAACATTTTATAATGAACAACTTGATAGCATTGTTGTACATCACCTCTACCTAGGTCCAAAACCTTTTCAAAAGAAAATCTCATACCGATTAGGCATTGCTTTGTATTTTCACCTCCCTCTTCCCTTGGCAATCACCAATCTATATTCTGTCCTTATGGATTTTCCTGTTCTGAATATTTCATGTAAATAAATATGTATAAATCATACAGTAGATGGTCTTTTCGTGTCCACCTGGTGCCTGTCTTTAAATTTTTAATTTCATTACATTTTTAATTCATGAGACTCCTTGATCCTCATTCATATCCACTCCCATGTGAGCTCTACCTCCCCCACCTCCACTTTGTATCAACTCTTAACCTGCTTGACATATGCGCTTAAACCTGCTCATAGCCTTGTAAAACAAGCCATGTTTTCAGGAGCATTTATATGCTTTAAACTTACTTTAATTTTTTTGTGTTAGTTTGTCCCTTCTGACTGCATTTCATTTATCACTAGAGATGAACATTGTGGACAGGGGCAGGATATTCACCTTGACCTCACCTTCCCAGTGTCACAAATCTTGCTATGATGAGGACTCACTTTGTCTTTCCTTCTATGAAGATTTATTTATATTTATCTATGCAAAGATTTTTTTTTATAAGTTTTCCAGGGTCAAACAACTAGTTACAGAAACCAAGATTTTAACCCTGCTGGTGGAGAAATGAGAGTATTTTGTACAAGGCAGGAGGGAATGGAAGTGTAAACTGTAGCAAGAGAAATTAATGCTAGCTTTCCTTTCCATCTTTTTCTTGAGTGGAAGTTGTTCCCTCCTTACTTCTGTTTATCACCAAATTGGGAGGTGATTCTGTGTTCTCCTAGCAATTCCCTGCTGCCTTCAGAATATACCTCAGCCTCTTACAGTCTGACGAAGCAATGATACCGCCCCCTGCCCACTTCTCAAGTGTTTTCTTTTTTAAATTTATTTTTGGGGTGGTGCTGGCATTTGAACTCAGGGCTTCATGCTTGATATGCAGGAGCTTTACCATTTGAGCCACTCCACCAGCCCTCCTGTCCACTTCTCACACCTGTCATAGGAGGACTGGTTAGTCACTTCCTACCTTCAATGGTGACATCAGTCCCAGCCTCCCAATCCATCCATCCACCGTTGTAAATGACACATGCATGTGATATAAACACCCAAGTTCACAGCCTACCTTGTATCCCAGCCTGGAAATCCCTTACCTTACCTTAGTCACTTGCCATCTCCTGTGTTTACTTGGTCACCACCTGGAACTGTGCCTCCTCTGAAATCATACTTTGTTATATGGAGCAGCCACTGAGGACAAAATCCATATCCCCAGCTTTCTCAGGCTTTCACCTTTACGATGATTATTTTTTTAACCTCATTGAAACCTGCAATATCTTGAGCCCCTTGTTCTTCGAGTCCTTTGTAGTAAACTAAACTCATGCCTCTTCACGTCTATACCAAGTTGTTTAGTGCTATGGGGAAAATGACACTAAGGTACAGCTCAGCATGTCACAGCTTTGTTGTCTCCAACCTCAGTGACCCATAGGGTTTGTTAGGGATCCTTCCCATGGTTCTCATCAGCATTATTTTCCAAACCTACAGGAGCTTCACCCATCACCACTGTCATCTCACTCCTCCTATCTCTTACTTAGCCCTTTCTTTCTGAGAGAAGCTTAGCTCCCACTTCACTGGAGACCTTAACGTTATCCAGTAGGGCCTCTTCCAACACCAAGCTGGCCCTCTTCCAAGCTCATCCAGTTTTGCATCTCTTTTGGCCTCCGTGCCTGCTGTCTGAGAGAAAAAAGGATCTTCCACCTCTGACACTGTACACTTTCATTGAGTGTCACTTGTCACTTAGTCACAGTATCTTAAACTTCTGGCCAGCTGGCTCTGTTTCTCATTTTCCACAACATATTTCACAGTTTTCTGACCTTGGGCCTGTTCTCGCTGTGGTTTTTTACCCAGAAATGCATTTGTTGACATTCAATCTATTTTCCAACATTTAGCTAAAAGGTGTCTTCTTCCACAAAGCTTTAGACTCACAGCAGGTATAAATGATTTCCTTTCTGAACTGTTGCTCTCCTTGTCTACCCCTCTATTAGTACTTGGTCCATGTCTACCAGACATGCTCTGCTTAATGACGGAATAAGTTCTGAGCAGGCATCAGCAATCTTGTCCTTGTGTGAACACCATGGGATGTGTTTGTGGAAACTAAAGTGTCTGTGACCTCATTAGGTGATATGATCCTCTGTGATGGCCACTGTGCATGCAGCTCATCACCCACAGAACATTGATGTATGGTATGTAATTCTTCTTTCCATGGCTGGTTTACTAAACTGATTGCCAGCTCCAAAGAAGCAGGGATGATGCATTACGGCTTCTTTGTAGTCTACACAGTCTTAATCCAATGCCTCACACAGTCAGTGCCAGCCAGTATTTGTAAAGTGATAGAGATCTATTTTGGCTTTCCATGTCACCCTACTTCTATAACTATGTGATGAATCTTAAATGCAGTGCCATACATTTTACAAGCTGGAGAACTCCTACCGGGAAAAACCTAATCTAGCCTTTACAAGCACAGTTTTTCAGTCTTTATTTTACGAAGACCTCTCTGGAGCTGCGTGTAGATGGGACCAATCCAGTTTTGCAAAATTCCCAAATAATGAGGTGCTTAGAAATTTCATCATTTGTGGCTTTGAAATAAAATAGTAATTTATGGAGGATGAAGAGTATCTTTCATTTCCCCTCATCTATGTCTACTTTATCCTTTTAATTCTTTTCATAGCTCATTTTTGTAACTATTAAAATTATGGAGTTCAAGAAGCCTGTTAAACCAAATAGACTACTTGGATGAATGTAAGGTCTTCTCATCTTTGCTAATCGTTGACACTTATACCACAGGCAGTGTCAGCTTGTTTCTGTGTTTATTTCCTTCTCCCTTATTTTAATTTCAAAGAATAGCGATAAATCTACACCACTCAGGACACTCATTCAGCACAGAGCCTTCCTCAGTCAGCAGTCATTTTGTTGAAAAATTTTGTGATAGTTTTTGTTCTTTATTTTGCATCACTAACACTCTGGAAATTGTCTAGCAGTGAGAAAATAATCAACATAGGAATTTTTTTGGAAAAATATTTGCAACTGACTGTTTTTTAAAAAACAAAAAGAATGCTCACTTGTAAATTATCCAATAATCCCAAAATTTTTAAGAAAATTGCTGTAATTTTTAGCATTCTTCCTATCACTAATTGACAGGACCTTCCTTTTTTTAGTCATTTATACCACTAAATAGATATAACTCTAAATTAAGAATTTTACCACTGTGCATTCTATCATGTTTTGAAACTCTCAGCACTTTAGAAAGAAAATTTATTTCGATTGGAATTATTCTGAACCATCACATATATAATTTTGTTTCTATGTCCTTTTTTTCTAGGTTACCAATGGGTTCTTTTCTTGGGGCAGTGGGTTAGCTACATTATCCAATATAGACATTCGAATCCCAACAGGTAAGAATCATTCGTTATGCATTTATTGCAATTGTTAATTATAACAACGATAGTTTTCCAAGATAAGTGAGCCTAACAAAAAAGGGAAGATTTTTAAAGACACAGATGTAAGGTATGGGCCACTACTTTGCTGTGAGAGTGATTAGAAATTATAAAATCTGCCTCTCAATACAGAGTCTGTACCTTTGGACAAGTTATTCACTGTTGACTTGCCGACTTGTACCATTTAAATAGTGGGCTAGTTGATTCTTCATTTTGTTTGAGAAAAATTTTAAAGAATATGACATGGAAAAAAATTGTTTTCATCCCTGAAGAATACTGATGATGTTTTCAAGTATTTAAGTCTCAGCTATGCAAGAATTTTATTTACTTACCTATTAATTTGCTTATTTATTTTTGTTTTAGTGAGGCATACTTGATATTTAAGAAATTACATATATTTAGTATTCACATTTTGGAGAGTTTGGATATATGTATATGTCCGTTATACCAGCATATAATCAAGGAACCAAATGTACAATCACTTTCAAAAATTCCTTTGTGTTCCTCTGTTTTTTAATAATTTTTTATGTCAATAACATTTGGGTTGTTTCTATATCTTGGATATTGTCAATAACACTGCACTGAATATAAGAGTGCAAATATCTCTTTAAGATCACACTTTAATTATATTGCATGAACACTCAGAAGTGTTAATTCAAATTTTTAATATTTTGAGTGACTTCCATATGTTGCATAGTTGTGGCTGCACAATTTTGCACTCCCAGCAGTGTATGCACAGTTTCATTTATCTCCACATTCTTACCAATACTCCTTTTTTAATAATAGCTATCCTAATGGATGTAAGATGATATCTCACTGATGTTTTGATAAACCTTTCCCTGGTGGTTAGTAATGCTGAGTATCTTTGTGTATACCCTGTGACAATTTCTGTGTTTCCGTTAGAGAAATATCTCTTCCATTGCTTTGTTTTTATTGGGTTATTTAAGTGGTTTTTAATTTTTTTTTTTTTTTTGCTGTTGAGTTGTCAGAGATTCTTATGTATTTTGGATATTAACCTCTTAGTAAGTAGACAGATGGTTTGAAAATACTTTCTCCCATTCTGTTACTTGCATTTCTTCTGTATTGATTGCTTCTTTGTTGTTCAGGTTCCATTTTTTTTTTTTTGGCAGTACTAGGGTTTGAACTCAGTGCCACACACTTGCTAGGCAGGCGCTCTACCTCTTGAGCAACTATGCCAGTAAGTTTCCATTTTTATATGGTCCCGTTTCTTCATTTCCTGTTTTGTTGCCTGTGCTTCTGGCATCAAATCCAATAAATCATTGCAAAATCAATACCATTTTGTCCTATGTTTTCTTTGAAAAGTTTTATAGTTTCTGAAAATTGAGTCTCAAATCCATTTTAAGTTGATTTTCATGTATGGTATAATATCCCAGTCTAATTTCATTCTTTTGCATGTGGCTATTCAGTTTTCCCAGCATGATTGTTGAAGAACCAATCCTTTCCCCATTGTGTGACTTTGACACCCTTGTTGACAATCAGTTAACTGTATATATGTATATACCTGAGCTCTCTATTCTGTTACATTGGTCTTTCTGTGTGCTTTATGCCAATACCACACTGTTTTGATTACTGTAGCTTTGTGACATATTTTGAAATCAAGAAATGTGGTGTCTTGAGCTTTGTTCTTTCTCAGGGTTGCTTCGGCTACCTGGGATTTATCATGGTTTCATATAAATTTTTAGACTTTTTTTCAATTTCTGTAAAACTTGTCTTTGCAATTTTGATTGAGGCTACATTATAGATTGCTTTGGGAAGTATGGCCATTGACTCTTGAAATCCATGAATATGGAATATCCTTATGTTTGTGTTTTCTTCAATTTCTTTTCTCAGTGCTCCATAGATTTTAGTGTACACGTCTTTCTCCTTGGTTAAGTTTATTCTTAAACAGTTATATGCAAACAATAAACTATCCAGTAAGAAATAATACTGGCTATATTAGCATTAAAAAGAAAAAATATTTTGGAATAAAACCATTAATTTTATTTAAAATGTCTGGGTAATTGAATATAAGTATTCGTTTGACCTGAATGGTCAGTGGGTTAGGATTTTTCAATTATCTATGCAAACCAAAGTGAGAAATTAGTGTCTTAATAACAGTCTAAATCACTTTCATCAACTTAATATATTTTAGTTAAAACTACCTTTTCTCCTGAGTGAATGGAACAGTACATTTAACATTAATCTAGAAGAGTTAAGAAATTAGTTCATTGTTCTCTTTAGTAATATCACATCATTCTTTGTTTTAAAAATAATAGATCAAGACCTATCTACTTTTAGTTGCTCTTTTCCTCCTTTCTCAGGGAAAGGAGCTGTTTAGATTTCCTATTGCTGGAAACCAAACTGGGCCAGTGCTTGTAACCTGTTAGTCCTTTCTAAATGTGTTTTAATTCTACTTTGCTAAGAGAATTCCTTCTCACCCTTTGTTTTGTTTCTCCAGGTCAGTTAACCATGATTGTTGGCCAGGTAGGATGTGGAAAGTCGTCTCTCCTTCTTGCCATTCTTGGTGAGATGCAGACCCTGGAAGGGACCGTCCACTGGAGCAAGTACGCGTGTTTTTAAGTGGTCTGTGTTGCCCTGTCAAGTGTATGGCAACCTTCCAGAGGAAAGGCTAGAACAATAAGCCCCCAAGTTATGAGTCTGAGGACAAGCTAAGATTTTTTATGAATGGAAACCTTAGAGTTCATAAATAAAAAATTATGAAACAGTTCATTATGGAGGTTTCTAATAGTATAGCTAGTATGTTGCTGAGATAAAAGTAAGGTTGGGATTTTAAAGACAAAAATTTAATGGTAAATAGGTAACAAAAGAAATAACTTAAAAATGCACCTTATAAAAAAAGTAAATCTTTGAAAACTTGCATCATTTATAAAGCTTAAATATAAACAGAGCCTTGGTGGCTCAAGGTTTGGAGGAGAAATACCAAGTGATCTTTCCCAAAATCTTCGTAAGAAACTGAAAATCAGCAATTTCTCTTCACACCTAATGTAGACGAGACTAGAAGTGTGTAGGCAGAGATGCATAGGCCAGGCTTGTGGTTGAGCAGCTCTAAAGATGTGGAAAGGAGGTAATGTGGCACTTCTAGAGATTGCGATGGTTGGCTTGGTGTCTTCAAAGCTCATTGCAGTAATAAAGTGATTTGGACCCACGATAACATTAGAGTTGAGTATTAAAGAATAAATCATATTTATTCATCTTGGCCCTCTGGTAGGCTCCCCATAAGCAGTTTATGAAGAAACTGGCCAGAGCTTTTCTAAGAAATTACTCTACTATATGGTGTTTCTCAACCAGGTATGATTTTGCCCCCAGAGAATATGTGGCAATATCTGGAGACATATTTTGTTGTTGAACTGGGGAACTGGGCTGCTACTGTTCTAGCTAGCAGAGGCCAGGGATCCTGTGAGACATCCTACAATACACAGGACATCCTTCTACAACATGGAGTTGTCCTACTCCAAATGTCAGTGGTGCCAAAGGTGAGAAGCCTTGCTCTAAGGGGTCTAATTTTATATGTACTGTCATGAGTTCTGTTATGGTTCAGTCTGCTATTTATGTACACATGGCATCACTTGGGGAGTAAAGACTATTTATGAGCCTCTTTAGAATAGATTCCATTTTAAACTCCAATTAAGAGAAGGAAACGGGTGCTTGTGAAATTTGACCTGGAATCAGTAGGAATGTAAATCTTGTTTCAGTGTCATTGGGAAAAGAAGGAAGCCAAAATGAGTTGAGTGTACATTTTATCCTTGTTGGACACAACTAAAAGATAGTAGCAATGACAGTGCATATCTGGCAAAGAGAGTCAATGAATGATTGCTATCTTAGTTTGCTTCATGGGAGTTTCCTGTTGATCAATGAAGTAAGGCACAGGATCTGTGTTCATCCCACCAGTTTCCTTCTATCTTAGGTAGAGAAGCAGGTCCTACTGGATAAAATTATATCATGTGACTTGTACCATTAAAATCAAGTTATTTGGGCTTTGTTTTTACTGTGTTTCACCATAATAATAAGAGCGATAAATCATGAGAGATAGTGACAGAAAAAGGTTGAGATGTTTTTTCATATCTTTAGGAATTTCTAAACTGGTCTGCTTTGGTGTGACTCTTTTCCAAGGTCTCATTTCAGTTGGACCAAATTCACTCTCCAGTTTACCATAATCATTACTATTTTGTTAATATATAAGTAAATAAAACAAGCAAGTGAAAAATTTTTATATAATCTAGTTAGTTGTTTTGTTGCTTGCATGTACACCATTTGTATCCTATCTAATTTCATGAAGATTATTTATTATTTTAGTTTAACTAACATAGTAAAGTTTGAAAAAGTAAAGGTGAAGAAATCAAGAAGAAAAATAAAGTTTAAATAATAATCTGAGAAGTTCATAGGAATTGCCTGAACTCTGGTTTTGCATAATTATAAAATATGGGCAGTGCCTTCCTCTGAGTTTCATGGGTGGAAGCCAAGAGGGAAACATGAGATAAAGACATGCATTTACTTAATAGTGGTTAAGTTTTTTCTCTTTGGAAAGAACTATGAAAGAAATCTCTCCAATGCTCCCTAAATTCTTAAAAAGCCAATAAAAGGTGACGTAATATTGAAAGTCCTCAATATTCCTAAAATTTATTGAAAAGCAACTTCCACGGGTCAATTAATAAAAGTAAGACACAAAAGGATTATAGTAGGTTATTTGAGAGTTGAGAGAACATGTGGGAGGAGTGAAAGATGTGGTACCATAGGATCAAAACAATTTGGCCTAAAGATACAAGCATTCAACTCTAGGTTGGTCTAGGAATGAGATTCACTACATTTGGGGAAATGGATGGATTGTACTTCATTTGGACTATCTTCTGCTTGGCATGTTAGCCAACTCTTCGTAGTTTTCTTTTTTCATTTGGTAAACATTCACTCGTTGGATGAAACATTTGAGTACTTCCATTGTGCAGGATGCTGATCCAGGTATGAAGGGTTGGATGTGAACAGGAAAGACCACGTCCCCAATCTCATTCTACACAATGTCCAAAGTAGCCTGCACACTATGCACTTATTCGACAAGAACCAATAGGTGGTGTTAGCCTGTGATAAATGCTGTGGGGAATACAAAATGTGTATAGTAGAAGGAGGGGTAGAGGACACTTCAGAGTCAATTTCAGAAAAGATCTTTGGGAAACTGACCTTGCAGCTGATGCCAAGATTATTTGTGGGACAAGCCAAGACTGAATAAAGAGACTGCAAGTACAAAGTGCCTCAGGTAGCAATGAACCTGGAGTGCTGTGGGGGGGCAGGAAAGAGACCAGAATGGCTGGTAAGCAGTGACTGAGAGAGGGGCAAGCCGAGCCGCTTGAGAGGAGGTACTGAGTGGGTTTGGAGGAGTGTTCAGAGGATACTGAACTTATTTGTTGTCTGCTCTTTTCATTCTAGAGGAAAAAAAAGCAATATGCCCAGTCTAATAAGGAAAGTCATACAAATATTAATTAGGGCAAAGCTAATTTAGAAATTACCGACATCGACAGACTGATAAAGTATGATACCAAGATGTCCTTTACTTCAGAAGCAGACTGAAGTGTCTGCTATCTTTAAAACTCAAAACAAAATGAACCAAAACAGTTAACTCAATGTTATAAGATATCAAGCAATTTGCTGTCACTCTCTCATCATTTCCTGTGTCTATGGTTAAGTAATTTTTACTTAAAAATATATAGACTGGTCTTAACAAAAATCTAATAAAGTACTTTGACCTGTTGCAGTGAGAAACATTTACTTTGGTCAGGGGAGAAGCGCTGTTGTTCATCCAGGACCCATCTGCATGGGGAGAACCCTATATGCCAGGACCCTCATAGATGTTTCCTTGGGAAATTACTACCTTGACTAGGTAGTAATTCTGACCTGTTATAGAGCCAGAGGATAACGATGGGGGAGACATGAGGGAGGAACTGAAAAAATGTTCTAACATTGTCAGATTGCCAATTTGCACATTAGTCTAGCATCTGGGTGTATGTTGTATTTCTTGAAAAGCAAATGTTTTGTCTAAATGAAGTTATTGTTTCTTTTGTCACCATACAGAAGAATTTCTACTGATATCTTCAGAGCTAGAACTAAAATATGCCCAATCTGATGGATAATTCCAGTAAGAATCCAGAATGTTTAACAATTGTAATCATGTGTGAAACAGCTGTCCTTTAGCTTTGGTTTCCTTTTCTTTTCCTTTCCCTCTTCCTGTGCCATCAGCCATTCTACATAAGGCCCTGTCTATCCTGATGTTCTGTCTTTTACTACTTTGGTGTAATCAGCTTTATAACAGTGATTTGGTTATTTTAAGACAGATAAATTGCAGAATCATTCCTGTTCATGTGACTTTGCCTGCCATGAAAGAATAACAATAATACATTGAGTCAGCTTTCCTGGATCAGATGTAATATGGCAAGTTTGTGTTGACTTGCTAGCTTCCCTTCTTCCAAATATTGTTCCTGGTTTAAGCCTTGAAAGTCACTCTTTTCTATTCACTCTTTTCTTTTGTATCTCGGAAGTTTGCTGGTGTGTCATCTTTAACTTTTGTTCTTGGAGGAAAACACACGAATCCAAGGTAGAGAGGTGCTTAGAAGTGAAGTCATGTTCTGTTTTTGAGAAGGAGATTTTCCATCTGGCCTCTGCTTTCTCTTGTCTTCAGTGCTGTTCACAAGCACACTGAATGGTGTGAAGTGAGTCTAGACATGGACCAGCTGGTTTTCATGGAATCAAGTAAGGTCCAATGTTAGAATTCAGAGCTAATTTAGTTTCATTTTAAAACAGGAAAAATTAACCTTATGCAATGGAATTTGATGAGACATATTTTCATGTGAGAGTTAAAGGATTATAACATTACTCCTGAAAATGTCAGTGACAAGAGAATCAGATCATTTTTAATTTTCTCATAGAAGATGAATACCTACAAATGGGTCTATATCTACACTTTTTTTCTTCCTCTAAAACTACTGAATTCATAGCAATTTAACTTTAAGAGAGAGAACCTGGGAAATGAAGATGCTATGTGCTGTCTTGCTTTTTTCAAAGACTACAATATTAGCTAACCTCCTTTTTTATAAATGTCTTTACTTATTTCTCTCCACACTCCATTATTCTCCATTTAAAAAATGGCCTTGCCTGTTTCTCAAACAACTGGAACATTTGTCTTTTAAGAAGAGTGGTCCACCCATACTTAACCTCCTTACCTTCCTTTTGCTCTAGGCATTGCAATCTGTGTGAAGTGTCTTCACTGTGACCGTGTAAGCGCTGGATCCCAATTATTTGTTCTCAGTCCTGCTTACCTTCTTCATAGCTTTTAGGACTTTACCACTAATGACTCCTTGAAACCCATTTGTTCCACCGTTTGCATGACACTATAGCTTACTTAAAATAGTTATTGCAAATCATTGTGTTGGTTGTCAGGGGATAAATAAATGAACAAGGAAAAGTAGGTCCCTATTTTCTTAAAGTTCACTGCTTGGCAGAGGAGACAGTGAAAACATAAGAAAATAACTTCATAATTAGTTATTTGGTTAATTTTTAAATAAATACGGAAGTACAAGGTTTTATAAGAGCAAGTAATTGGTGAGCTGACAGGAGAGTCTGAGGCCAGAAAGGCCTTGTTAGAGGCGATAAGTAAATGTATGACACATCAACTTGAGTTTTAAGTATGAGTCATAGGTCAAAATCTTGAGCTGTACTCGAAGTGGAGATAGAAGACAGGGAAAAATAGTCTAATTTCCCTTCAGTTTTCCTGGCTACTTGTATCAGTCTACTGTAGGAACACCTTTCTTTTCTTATTCCTTAAATTCTGTCTTTGAACTGCTCTCTGAGTACTAATGACACTCCAGTATACACTTTGGGCCAGTATCTTTCTTCTGAAGATGTGATAGTTCTTCCAAAAAGTCAGACAAGCTCCAAATTCAACCCCTCCAAACTGAAGTCCTATCTCTCATTTCTCCAAAACCTGATTCTCTTCTTGATTCTTGGTAGGAATGTGTCCCCAACCCCTAAAATCAGTTGGTAGGTGCCCATGTCAGAGTCCAGTTCAGCCTACAGTGTTTCCTCTCCATTGCCCTTAAAATTCAGCCAATTACTGTGCATCCTTCCTGTTCTCTTCTGCCTGTGCAGACATTTCTACATCTATTTTAATTTCTCTAGTTCAGGTACTTACCATGTATGTGGACTACTCACTCCACCAGCTTCTTAATCTGCACACTGTTGCCTGACATATCTTTGTGTCATGAAAATCTAGTTACTTCCCTTTTGCTTATAATGTTTTGTTGACTGCCTGACAAAAGCAAATGAGAAATATTCCAAAGACCATTGCATGTTGTACTAGAGCCTTTCGTGATCTGGTCCCTGTCTAACTTTTTAAACTCATATGCTTCCATTCCTCCCACCTGTAGTTTTGTGCTCCAGTAACAAGGATGTTCAGGTAGTTCTCAAATGCGCATGCTTCCTTTATAATGCCTGCCTCAGTTCAGTGACCTCTCTTTCATCTAGTATCAATTCAGGTGTCATCTCTTTGACAAAGCCTTCTTTTATTCTCTTGGGATTTGAATGCCTTGTTCCTCTTGGTCCTTGTGTACTCGATTCAAATTACTAAAGAGGATTGATCTTCTTACGAGGCAGTGAGACCCTACAGCCAAAGCATACTGCCTTTTTTTCTTTCTTCACTTCATATCTAGTCCAATCCCTGGATTTTTTCTATTTCTTGTCTAAGCAGGAGTGTCCTGTCTGTCTATCTATCATCTATCTGTCTATCTATCTGTTATCTATCTATCTTTTATCTATCATTTATCTGTCTATTATCTATCATCTATCATCTATCATCTATCTATCTATCTACCTATCTGTCTGTCTATCTATCTATCTATCTATCTATCTATCTATCTATCTATCTATCTTCTATCTGATTTCAGTTCATAGTCCCCTCCAGGTGAATCTTTCTTTTGTAGATGAATAAAATGATGTCTTCACTCATGATTTCCAATTCCTCATATTCTACTCTTAGCTTGGTCCACTCCCATGAAACTGCTCTTATCAGAGCCATCAGTGGCATGCTGGTTATTAAACTCATTGGATACTTTTTAGTCATTGTCTTACTTGATCTCCTGGTGACTTGACTCTGTTACTAATATCTTTCTTCCCTTGCTTTTCTTCTAGTAAAACTCACAGTCCAGGTCACCTGTGAAAATGTTCCCTACTCTTCTTTGTGCCTTTCTTCCATAGACTTCTCTTCCTTGGCCATTTTGTTAAATAGTGATTATCTTCAAGATCTTTTCTTTATACTCTTTTTTTTTTTCAGCCTCTGTGCTTGCTCTCTGGGCCAACACACACATTCTCACACTGTCACTTTCTGCTTTCTGCTCCTCATCTTTTGTTCTCTTGCGAAAGTGTAGAAGTCATTTATCAACTTTTTGCTATTAAAGGATGGAATCCAAAGTTTTGGTATCTAAGGCATGTGCCATGAGAGAAAAATCACTCCCAAAGAGTCCATTTGCTTCCCAGATTGCTCTCTTGAGCTTTAAATTCTGCTTTCTGACCCCAGTCACTTGAATATTCCTTGGGTACCTCAAAATGAATGTGTGTGATGCTGAGCATACTATCTTCCTCCAATTTAAGTACATCCTCTCCTGCGTTTCCTATCCTGGGCTCCTGTGTCTTGTCTCCTTCATCCATTCCCTCTCGGCACTCACATGTACTAGATTTCTGCATGTGTTTACTTCTGTTCATTCACTTATCATTGCCCTAAGTGAGGGCACTGTCATCTTGTCTCCATTACTCTGACAGCCTGCAGTGGTCACTGTATCACCTTCAGCCTTCCCTCCCATTCATTTGTTACATTCTGTGGTTGGACAAATGCTTCTAAACAGAACCTATTTTTCTCTTGATGAAACTTTTAAAGTGTTTTCCTATTAAGGAAAAGTTAAATGTCTATAAAATGGTTTATGAGCCCTGGCAAAGGGCTGGGGGTAGAGCCCAGTGGTAGAGTGCTTGCTTACCATGTTCAAGCCCTGAGTTCAAGCCACAGTGCTACCCTCCAAAAAAAGTATATATGAGCCCCTTCGTTATATGGTTATGCTTACTATTAGTCCATAATGTTAGTTCATCATGTACTGTTCTTCCCTGGCCATTTACAGCAACATTTCAGTCATGTTGACTTATGTCTGCCCCTTCTATGACCAGGATACCTCATGGTCATCCCTTAGGTATGTAGAGGAAAGTAGATAACTCTAGGGTAAAGTACTCTTAGCTTTTTCTTCATCTAGCCTACTCTTAACCATGCCTTTGGCATCAACTCATTGTTTGTCCTCATTTGCCAAAAGTGGATTGGGTATTCTTTCCTGCGATTTATTCCCTTGTCATGTTTCCACAGAAGTGAAGCAACACAGAAGATGGGACAGAGCTTCCTGGTTCCCTGTATCTCTAGTATTCTAGAATATAATCAATAAATAGTTTAATTGATATTAAGTATAGTTGGAATATAATCAATAATCACTGAATAAGTTGATGATTTCCAAATCTGTGTCTCAATGGGTGTTTCTACCTGGATGACCAGTATGCAAATTATCCCACTAATTTCTGCTACGTACCTGTTCTTCCTCATCTCTTATATTTCTTCCCCAGATTAGCAAAATTGCACAGGTAATATGTTGATTTTTAATAATTAAAAAATGAAGTTCAAATTTCTTGAAATCTGAGTCATATTCTGTAGAAAATGTCTCTTGGGAAAATGAATATTTTATTAATTTATTTTATGAGTATCTTAGATAAGGGGATAGTCATTATTGAGAGGAAATTTTAGTCTGAGATTATTTTTCATGCCTTTATTAACTATCTTAAGATGCTGTTAGCAATGTGCAATCATGAAAATAATCCTTCTTAATTCTAAGCCAAATATCACTAGGTAATGTAATTAGGTAAATTTTCTCCACAAAAAGCACATGACACTGTCCAAAGTCAATTGGATCTCTTTTTAAAGTTCCTTTAGACTTAAATTATGTATGTTGTTATTGAATTAAGGTCTACCAGGAAGATGCAATTCAGCTAAACCTAAATTATTAAAAATTCAAACAGTAAAGCAAATTGGTTTGCAGGTGGGGTCTTCTCATAATATAGGTACTACTAAATGTAATTATACAAATCCCATTTTTTGCATAAATCATATCAATCAATAATAATATTATTGATATTTGTTATAATTTGATCAATATGCATATCTGTCTGTCTTACAAGCTTCAATGTTTTGTGTTTTGTTTTGTGCCAGCTTCAGTGTTTAGAACCTCCAAAGTATTTCTTGTGTTCATGCTTGAAGGAAGCTAATTAGGAATTTAAGCAGATTAAGTTCAAATTTTAAAGGTAGGGAGCTGTTGTGTTTATAGAATCCTTAGGAAACTCTATTCTAGGAGATTACCCAAGTTAATCAGAGCCAAGTGGGGAAAAGAACAATGCCACTATTAGAGATGACAGTACTATCTATGTTTTGGACGAGTACTAAATAGTTATCTCCCAGCTGAGGAAGACATATAAGAAATTATTATTTAGCTGGTTCGTCTATGAAATTAATTTCAGAAACCTTGGTTTAGCAAGGCATTTTCTAATGCTTAGCGTTTTCAGTATTTATTTATCTCTTGCCTGATGTGTACACACATTCACTCTATTTATATTTCATAATTAATGGACATTGTTTACCATACTTACAGTGTAAACGAATCTGAGCCTTCTTTTGAAGCAACCAGAAGGTATTATTTCTATTTTAACTTGAGTTTAATAAGAATAACTTCCTTCCTCGGTCTTTAATACTTGACTCCCAGTCATTTGCTCATTCTGACAATGTAGTTATTTATTAAAATGTGCCAGTGTATTTACAAAAGCAGTGGTTTACAACCTTTGAAGGCTGCTTGAAAGAATCGATTTGCCAAACAAAATGGCTCATTGTGTCAACTCTTCTTCTCAATGAGTCATATGTCTTCCAACTTTGGCTGAAACTCAAACTGTCTTTATTAAAAAGTGTTTGAGAGTCCATAAAATAAAAATGCAAGAATTAATTCCCATATTGATTGTGAGTCAACCAATGATGAGATCTACCTATAAGGTACAGAGGCAGAGCCAAGCTACTTAAAATAAAAACCCCTTAGGGAACTGGGGGTGTAACTAAGTAATGAAGTACATGCTTAGCATGCTTAAGACCATGAGTTCAATACTAAAAACCAAAACTTTAAAAAAACCCTTAAAGGGAAAAGGGAAAAGGAGGCAGACATGTCAGAGGTTTGTGAACCACTGTTTTACTGCACATTTGGTTATCTGAAAGACTACTAGCACTTTAGACATTATCATGTCTTTGAAATAAACCTCTAAGGTGTAATGCTTTAGGTTGGTCACTGAATATTTCTAATGTCTCTCTTTCTTAACTTACTCTCTTTTAACCATAATTCCTTCCATAGTACTCACAGATCACTAACTAATTGTGGATGTATGACTTTTCAACTGACGTGCCCCTCTCCCCATCCCAGGCTCATCATCCACTTTATATTCAGCTCACATGTATTTTCCTAATTATTTCAAATTAAAGTCTGATGTATAGACATCTGGTAGCATTTGCAAGCCAAAAATGGGAGGGGGTGAGAAAGTTATCATTTTAAAAAATAAGCTATTTAAATTTGTTTTGAAAGGTGTCGTTTAAGTGCGTAATTTCAATATTGAAAAAGGGCTCCTCCTAGTATTCTTGTTTGGAAATGTTTACATATATTCTACTTATATATGATATTTTATAACTTAAAATATGGCAGTGTAATTAAGCCACAAACACATACTATAATTACAGTATCAACTATGTTTTCTTTTAAGGTCTACATACAAATTTACAGTTACATAAAGTACTTTTAATACAAAGTAAAATATCTGTGGCTATTGGAGTGAATGAATTATTAATAATATTTAATTATTTAAAATTTTTTCTCACTTTTTTAGAAAAAAAATTCAATTAGTGATTTATACTTTAACACGTTTTGTCAGGAAAATGAAACCAAATTTTATATATTTTATGATATTCTGATTAAATTCCAGTCCATTTAATTTAGGCAGCATGTTTAATGATTTGTTAATCAGGTTGGTGGTATTTTAAGTTTTTCTTTTACAAGTTTTCTACTTCTGAGTCTGAGATATTTTTTCTTACTTACACTAAAATGCACACATGGCACAGCACCCTTGTGTAATCCAGTTTTTGCTTTTCTTTTCCATTTTCCAGCAGGAACAGATATTCTGTGGCTTATGCAGCTCAAAAGCCTTGGCTACTAAATGCAACAGTAGAAGAAAACATTACCTTTGGAAGTCCTTTCAACAGACAGAGGTAATTTTGCCCATCTAAAATTGAGAAATGAAACAACAGCTCTTTCTGATGCATCAGTGTGGTCCACAATTTCTAGAAGATTTACTCCTGAGATTCCCTTCCTTCTCTGCCTGCCCCATTCCCATCCTCCTCACCAAGTCTTTTTGAGTCAATTTTAAGAAAAGCCTCATTTGCAAGTTTCAGTCTCTCCTATATACTTCCTGAGACATCAGTGCACCAAGACTAGATAACAGCAATTGAGGGCGTATGTGTGAGGGAAGATGGTGTTTCTTAGGTTAATAAGGAAGGAAAACTCCGAATAAGTGACCAAAGGAGGGTGAACTGTGAAGAGAAGAATGTGGGACTTGAGGCATCTGGTGACTAAGAGCAGAGAGAAAGTGCCCATCTCTTAACCATCCTTCACTGGAACATAGGAAAATGTGACCCATTCCTTGGGCCACCTTACAAGGGTGGGATTTAAGACCCTAAGCTGGAGTCTTGAGAGTACAGGAGAAATAGGCAAGGGGGGAGGCACAAAGGAGAAGGAGGAAAAGCAAAAGGAGACCCCTGTAGATGAAGAACATGAAGTACCTGAGTCGGCTTGGGTCAGGGGCACAGTCAGGCAGAAGGGATTCAGAAGGTTGAGGTCAGGTTGTGGAAGAGATAAAAGCCAGTTTGATATGATTGAGCATATTCTGAGGGGGCACTGCAAGCCTTAGAAAGAGGTAATAAAGTGAATGTGGTGCTTTGTGTGGCAGTAAAATAAGAATGGGTAGATACAGCTAAAGATACAGGTATAGGTACAGGTATAGATATTGATACAAATAGACATATTTTGAACTGGGAGTAAGGAGACATTTAGAAGTTACTTAGAATAGTTACCCAGGTATGTAGTGTGTTACTTGCACCTAGAGGAGACAATAGAAATGTAAAAGACTAGATGGTTGAGAAAAAAATCTAGACTAAGGGTGGCAAACATAAGACAGAAGAGGGAAGAAGAATCAAAATGACTTAAATATTTAAGACTAGGGACTAAGAAGATTAAGAAAGCAAAGCCACTGACATTTTCACCATTTCCAGTCCCAGCCTTGGATGAACTTGAGGTCTGTCATTCCTCATTGATTCTGTTCCTCCTTCCTTCAGTGCATGAAAATGTGCAGGGATGCTCAACGTTGGTTTTGGTATGATGAAACTCCAGTGTTTCTCAGGTGCACACAAGCCTCTTCACCTTCAGAAGTTCCCTCAGCTTCCTTTCCTCATTTTTCTCCCTGGAAGATCAGTTTTCTAGATACAGTTTAAATGTTACCTCCTCTGTAACTTCTCAGGGTTGTCAATCATTTCTTCCTTGTACTTTGCAAGTGCTTTTTACCTACCTCTGCCAATAGCACTGAGGCTCAGTTTTATTGCTTTGATATCATTCTTCTGCTCTAGATACCAGCTTTAATTTTTTTAAGTTAACAGATAAAATAGTCAGCTAGTTAGCATATGCATTACCTGGTATCGCTATGATTTTGGTGGTGAAATTGGAGACCTATACCTATTTTCTCTGTATCCACAAACCTAGTGTAGAGGTTTAACTTAACAGGATTAACTTAACTTCGCCCAGCCCACATTAAAGTGCTCAGTAAATGTATCGTTTCAGCTTCCAAAACCTTAAACTTGGGACTTAGTTTGTGGCCATGTATTAATAGTGATCTAAAAACACACAATTCTTTCTCCCAAAGGTACAAAGCTGTCACAGATGCCTGTTCTCTGCAGCCAGATATTGACTTATTACCATTTGGAGACCAAACTGAAATTGGAGAGCGGGTGAGCTATATATAGTTTAATTAAGCAATGGAAAAAATCTAGAAAAGTCTTCCTGCTGCCGTTAATCCTTAGTGGAGCATCATGAACTCTGAGAGCTTAGGACTTGTGTGTTGTCCTGGTGACAAGTTCTAGGCTGTGAGGACAGGAGTCTTTTGATGCCACTGCCCCTGAAGTATTCATTGAGCAGCCACCGTGCGCTCAGCATCCTGCTGGCCACATGGGAGTTCTCAAAGAAAGTGAAACACAGCCCCTGCCTTTGACCAAATGTATCTTGCTTACTTGGTGCTCGCTTGAATTGCTTTAGAAACTGAGATGGCTTCCGACAGCTTCTTCCACTCTTGTCAACAGCTATTTATTCTTGTTAAAGTGTTCTTTTTCTTCATGTAAACATGTTTTATCTTGACGTCATGTGATTCTGGCCAGCTGAAAAATGTGCAGACCTGCAATCTTTGTAACGTTTTGACCCTCATAGCTATCACATAGTAGGCAAAAGATTCAAATGGGTCATCTGCTTTGACAGTAAGTCAAAGGTGTTATTGTAGGGGTGTTATTGTTCTCTACATACAACAGCTGAGAAAACCAAGACTGGGAGAATTAAGGAACTTGCCCAAATAGAGCATTCATGACGTATTTGGGATTACTCTGATCCTGTCACCTTTGTCCTTAGTGATCACTCTTTATTGCAACATCAGGTAGTGTTTAAGAGGATTAACTTAACTTCCCTGAGCCTTGGTTTCCACATGTAGAAAAGGAGGACAATACTTATATATTGGATTACTATGAGGTATAAAAGAAACAAGAAAAGTAGAGCCATTTATTCAAGCCTGGCACAGGAGGAAGTGCTAGGTTAGTAATATTTCAAATGTATAATTAACACTTTATTGTAAAAGAACATTGGTGTACAGTTCCATTTAATACAACTTATCAAATTTAAGAGGAATGTGTTCAGTAAATGACAGACACATTGGGGAATTGCTTGCAGTCTTTCACACTCACAAGTGTTCTAGATAATAATACTTCTGTACAGTAGTGCTCTCTATCCAAGAGAAAGGAGGATTGATGTTCAGAGTCAAAAACTATCCTGGTAAATCCAAGCATTGACCATTAGAGAATTTTCTACCTTTCTTACCAATGTTACCACAATTTAATTAACAAATTACTGGTAATTAAAAATTAGAGATATTTGTAGTTTAAAATTAATTTTCTCTATCAGATTCTTAACTAATGTGGAAAAATGGATGTTTCTTTGCCAGGGCATCAACTTGAGTGGGGGACAGAGGCAGAGAATCTGTGTGGCAAGAGCTCTCTATCAAAATACCAACATTGTCTTCTTGGTAAGAATATGGCCTTTACTTTTATTTCTATTTTGTTTTCCCCCTCTGCACAAATGAGTCTTTAAAAAGACAATTTCACTAACTTGAGGAAAGGTGGTTTAATTTTTTATTATCATATTATTGTTGTACTGGGGGTACATTATGACATTTACAAAAGTGCTTACAATATATCATAGTTGAATTCACCTTCTCCATCATTCTCCTTTATCACCTCCTCCCCCCATTCCTGGAATAGTTTCAACAAGTCTCATTTTTCCATTTTCATACATGAATGCATAATATTTTCAGCTACATTCAGCCTCCTACACCCTTTCCTTATATCCTCCCCCTCCCACTGGTACCAACCCCAGTCAGGACCAGTTTTACCTTTCTGTTCTCCATTTTATAAAAAAGGCAATTTTATTTAAGATAATTATCAGGGAGTTTCCTTGTGATATTTCTAGGTATGTGTATATTATAACCTGGAGTCCATAGGGGAAAGAAATCCTTACAGTACAAATCAGTAGAAGATCAGCTTAGGAAGTCAAGATTTGGGGAACCAGTCTTTGTCCACATAATTAAAATAAAAATTACCGGGGTGACTCAAATGGCAGCTTTTCTGAGTTTTTCTATCAGAAAGATCATAAATGAGGAACATGAGTGATGCCAGGTCAACTGGGTAGGATCATAGGTTTCTCTTTTATATTTCATGACCAAGAGAGAAGAGCCAGAAAATAGTTCTTTGTTGGACATAGGAATAAGTAAGCACAGCACCCCATTCCAGTGACAGATGATTCAGGCTTTCATTAGATTTGCCTGTGATGCTTCCTAAAATTTTAGAAATCTTGGTCCTACCCTAGACCTTCTGAATCATAATCTGTAAGGGAAGAGCACCATGGATGTGTCTCATGATTTTCCTGGCTAATAACTTCTTCTACCCATGGGCCCATTAAATTTGTGATTTCGGTCTATTTTTGCTACTTCAGGGGAAAGAAAACAAATAACTTAGTGTACAAGTAGAGAATGTATGTTAAAGACCAGCAGAGTATGAAAATACATCCTTCTCCTGCTCCCCTTTCTGTGTAACTGTTAGCCATTTGTAAATCTGGCTCCCTTTAAAGTCTCCATTCTATATTATCTCTAGAACCTTTTCAAAATAGGTTGATTTTGGAGTTCCCACTGAATTTGGAACTCTTGTTAGTGAGAGTAGACTGGGACATCCTGGAAGTTCGCTTCAGGTTAATCTTTCTAAGAATAGTTGTCCCTACATTTTCCCCAAAATCATAAGAGCCATCATAGGATCTAGCAGTAACCTATGTGACTGGAAATCCTTTATATAACCATCAGAAATGAGGTCTTAGAACTCATGACTGAGCTACCTGAGAATCACATGACTTGAAATCGGAACAATCCAAGGTCCTATAGGACTTTCTACTCCAGTTCATTCCACTGCCTCCATTTAATGACTGATATAACTTCAGTTGGGAAATCAGAGAATCTCTTCCTTCTCCCTTCTTTCCTTCCTCTTGTCTGCTTCTTTACTTTCTCCTTCCTTCTTCCTTCGCTCCTGCTTTCCCTCCCTTCCTTCCTTTCCTCCTTCTTTTCCTTCTTCCTTTCTCTGTTCTTTTCTCTTTTCCATCCATCAGTGATGTTCATATTTCCATCTTCTGTCCAGGTGGAGGAAGCAAAGGAGAAAAAGTCAATTCTCGATTTTAAGAATCTTGTAAGAATAATTGCTTGAATGTTTTTACATTTTCCTGTAAACAAACTTTGTCATTTTACCTTAATACAAAATCAAAGCTAAATTATTACATCTTAATCATGTATCAAGGATATTAGCTATTCTTTTTTATTATTATTATTATTCATATGTGCATACAAGGCTTGGGTCATTTCTCCCCCCTGCCCCAACCCCCTCCCTTACCACCCACTCCACTCCCTCCCTCTCCCCCTCACCCTCTCAATACCCAGCAGAAACTATTTTGCCCTTATGTCTAATTTTGTTGTAGAGAAAGTATAAGCAATAATAGAAAGGAACAAGGGTTTTTGCTGGTTGAGATAAGGATAGCTATACAGGGAGTTGACTCACATTGATTTCCTGTGCTTGTGTGTTACCTTCTAGGTTAATTCTTTTTGATCTAACCTTTTCTCTAGTTCCTGGTCCCCTTTTCCTATTGGCCTCAGTTGCTTTTAAGGTATCTGCTTTAGTTTCTCTGCGTTAAGGGCAACAAATGCTAGCTAATTTTTTTAGGTGTCTTACCTATCCTCACCCCTCCCTTGTGTGCTCTCGCTTTTATCATGTGCTCAAAGTCCAATCCCCTTGTTGTGTTTGCCCTTGATCTAATGTCCACATATGAGGGAGAACATAGGATTTTTGGTCTTTTGGGCCAGGCTAACCTCACTCAGAATGATGTTCTCTAATTCCATCCATTTACCAGCGAATGATAACATTTCGTTCTTCTTCGTGGCTGCATAAAATTCCATTGTGTATAGATACCACATTTTCTTAATCCATTAGTCAGTGGTGGGGCATCTTGGCTGTTTCCATAACTTGGCTATTGTGAATAGTGCTGCAATAAACATGGGTGTGCAGGTGCCTCTGGAGTAACCAGTGTCACAGTCTTTTGGGTATATCCCCAAGAGTGGTATTGCTGGATCAAATGGTAGATCAATGTTTAGATATTAGCTATTCTTGAAGATTTATGGCAACTGCAAATTGTCCTGTGTATATAAATTACTATATAACTTACAAAAATACATTCAAACAAAAAATATATTTCTTAATCATATTCATCCACTGTAGAAGAGAATGTATTCATCAACACTGTGTGTTGTATATAAAAATAAATGATATACTCTTGAAAATGGAGAAATAACCATTCACTGAATTTGACAAATTGTCCTGCTTTCTTTAAAGGAAGTATCTTCCCAAAATGTTAGTAAATAAACTGAATCTTGAGGCATAATTCTCAATCCATCAAAAGATGAACTGCATTGAACTGTTGTACAGAGAAGCCAGGACATAGAAATAACAGTGGTCATTATAAATGACTTTCTGTGATCTAGGCATGATTCTAAGTTCTTTATACACATTAACTCACTTAGTTCATACAATAGTTCTTTAGAGTTTTGCATTGCTGTTAGAGTTATTACTGGTATATGTTGATGAGGACAACAAGATCACACAGTAATAGTGAAGCAGGGATATAATTCTAGGGGGCTTGATTTCATAGCTTGTACTCATCACACTATTCCTTATTAAAAGACACCTGGAGGACACTAACCTCTTACCATATGTGTTAGAGGAAGGACCACAATATGAGTCTGCCACAGGACACTTGAAAATGGGTAATAGAGGTGTTCACTCCATTGTTTTATTACCGTTGCAACAATCTGATGTACTTCATCATAGGTCCCTGTATTATCCCCTTTACCATGAAGTAGCAATTGGAAACATGGCCCAAGGCAGAGAGTGGTTGTAACTACAACTGGGTTCCTTTAAGACTATGTACTCTCCATTATGCCTTGCTATATTTAAAATATTTAAAGTCAGAATCTTATGGAAAATCAGACTAAATTATTATCTTCCTTTTTCTTTGTGAAAAATTCTCATAAAGCATTTTTGTAATGGTTTGGTCTACATAACAAATGATTCTTATGGTTATATTAGAGTCAGATGGTTATGTCAAAAACAACAGGGTTATCTGTATGATAGTTATCTGACTTTGAAAAACTATTTATAGTGGAAGACTGTGGTAATTAAATCCTTGCTACATTATTACAGATGGAGATGGAGAAGCTTATCAGTGCAATCCTGAAACAGTGAATTTCTTTATTGTTATGAAAACACTGTTCTGTCCTTCATTGATTTATATTTATACCTGAACTTGCTGTGTTAAGTAATTCAGAAGTCCCATGTTAACTTTTGTGTTGAAAGAAATTCTACAACTTATACAAAATTCAATAATTAGAAAATTAAAGTAAGAATACTTGTTTTTATTATTAAAATGAGATAAACAACAACTAAGGATGGAGTCTGGTAATTTGAAAAGCAACTCACCAAGAAGTAGATAATCATTTCAATCTATACATAGTACTTTTTGGAATATGTTGAAAATAATTCACGTCCACTAAAATGACCTGAAGGATCTGAAAGATTTTGACATATTTTCCATCTCATCCAAAAAAATTTCTGGACAATTAAGATAATTGTCAATTATGTTTCATTATTTTAAAATATAAACATACATACACGTGGAGTAAGATATATATATGCATATGTTTATATATGTGTGTAGGTATGTGTATATGTGTGTACATAATGATGATTATTTTGTCAACTGTTACATTTTCCAGAATACCCCAAAATTTATTTGGCTTAAATAAATGATATAACTGGAGGTATATTTCTGTTGCTAAATGTATTTATAGATAAAGCCACTTGAGGACATTAATTATATCACCTATTTATCTGTAATTATGAGATCTAGAAGAAAGATTTTAATTCTGAATCACCCATTAGTGGTCTACATACTTTATTAATATTCCCTTTTTATCAGGTTTCTCCTAAATGCTTTAGTGAAATCACATTGCTGATAGTTTTGGTCTATAAAAGCAGAGACTGACAGAAAAATAGGAAAACTATTGAGCGAATCCCAGTCTATAATAACTACATTATACATGTATTCTAACTTCTAGACATAACTTCCCTCTCAATAGAAATTGCTTTTATTTTTCATTGTCTGGATAGTTAATCAATCCAGTTCTTCCATATAGAGAATAGGATTGTGTTCAAGTGTTTCAAAAATTTCCCGGAATTCTCATTTCCAGCATCTCACAATATAGCCTGTGTGAGGTAGAATGAGAAACTAGCTTCTTCTTTCTTGGGCCTATACAGCAAAGCAGGAGTTTGTTTGTGCACTTTGTATATGGAGGAACAGCAGAGAAATAGGTGTGGCTAGAGAGCACACAATTTCAACCACTATCTCCAGTTCTTTACCCAAGCCTGTGTCATTTTTACTGCTTTATTTCTTGAACAATCCCTCTGCCATCACTAGACAGTGTATCTGCAGTACCACTATCCCTGAAGGTCCCTTTATCTTAAAATTTAATATCAGGAAACATTATATTTTTCTTCAGCAGTTTCTAGCTTTCTTCTTTCAATATCAAATATGAAGCCATATAATCTAAAGCTCTTTGTGAATATTATAGGAATAAAATGTACATGAAAATTGCCAATAGGTAATATCTTCACTAATTTCTTAAATTGTTCTTTAAATGTCTTAATCACTTGGTGCATGAAAACATTCTTTCTTACCAAAACAACCTATATTAACTCACTGTTACACATGCTATTTTTGTATCTGATGATCATGACAGATTATAATTATCTACTGTCTGTTATGTACCTGGTACCATTCAAAACATTCAGTATATATGATGTGATTTGATCATGAGGACATCTCCAATTGGTAAGTCTTGCTGTGGTACAATTAACGTTTTCTATGCCTGTTGTAGTTATCCAGAACTCAACTATTCCAATTACCTTTTCATTCTTTTTTTTTTCGTTGCTGAACTTTTAAGAATCTCTAAGAATTCATGCCACTTAGAATATTGTTCCTTAATGTTAAAGTATGAAAACTCCATTTTTGAGTTAATATCTTTCTCTGATTACTTAAAGTCCAAAGTCTGACTTTTTTGTATGTTGGATTTGGGAGGTCATTGGTCCTTGGTTGTTTGTACTTCTACTCTCTAGAGGAAGTGACTTGCATAAAGAGTATGGGAAAGTGTTCATCTTCCCTCCACTTTACTTGCCTGCAGGATGACCCCTTCTCTGCCCTCGACATCCACTTGAGTGATCACTTAATGCAGGAAGGGATTTTGAAATTTCTCCAAGATGATAAAAGGACACTTGTTCTCGTGACTCACAAGTTACAGTATCTGACACATGCTGACTGGGTAGAGTTTTCCTGTGTTTATATGACAGTCATATAGTAGAGATATTAAGAAATACTTTCTGAAGTAAAGTTAATTCATTTGGTCACTTAAGGCTTTTAGTCACATTTTTGCTAATATGTGCTTTCCTTAGATCATAGCCATGAAAGATGGAAGTGTGCTAAGAGAAGGGACTTTGAAAGACATTCAAACCAAAGATGTAGAACTTTATGAACACTGGAAAACACTTATGAATCGTCAGGATCAAGAATTAGAAAAGGTAAACACTCGGTTCACAAGAGTCCAAAATGGGCTATATAATTACTAGAATGATTTTAAATGAGTATTACATTGAATGCTTGATTATACAATGCTCCTTATCTGAAATCCAAAATAACTCTGTCTTTACATATCAAGATAGAAGCAAGATGAACAAGTTACTTCAAGCCTATGATAGTCTAATGATGTCTTTTGGAGCAAGTGCTGTCAGGTTTTTGGAGGATTTTCATTTGAATTTGAACATGTTGCAATTGTATGTATGACTACAACTTGGACAGACTGCTTACAGAAACATGTAATTTCTAAATTTTGTCCCTGTTTCTTAACTTAATCTAATTTTTCTTATCTTTAATATGAAGATATTTTCACTCACTGCCATGGGCAAGACATAGGCCAAGATGATTTTGAAAGAAGGAATTGTTGTGAGCTGTGAGTGAAGTTGGAAGGCATGTCTGGAATAGAGATGGGGGTGAAGGAAGTTGATAAAATAAAAATAAAATTTTAGATTTTTATAATTTTCTACAATCCAAAAAACCTTTTTGTAAACACAATCTCACTTAAATCTCACAAAATGTTTGAGAAATAAGTACAGAAAATATTACCTCACTTCTTAACGATGAGAAAACTGAGTCTCCGAGAGGTTATGTGGCTGCCCTAAAGTCGTACAGGATGAATGAAAAGTGGTGCCACTGGGACTTAAACCCAGGTCCACGACCAGTGCAGTTGTGCTAAAATGCCACAGTTATAGCACTAAAGTAGCTAAAGTTACATAGTAAGTGACATGATGACAGAGTTGGAAAATGGATTGAGTACAACTTGTGGTTGAGAAATTAAAAATTGGATTTGAAAAATTTTGAAATGTTTTGCTTTTGAGTTTAGACTAGGTCGTGTCCAGAATGTGGTATTCTTGGCCAGGAATGAGCATTAAAAATGAAATATTTAGAGCAGCAAAACTTAAAATATCAGGAAATTAAACTGTGTTATTTTAGAAAGGGATAAAAAAATCTGTTTCCATAGAGAGAGGAAGACTAAAAAGTCAGAAAAATCCAGTATTTCTCTATCTTGTATGGATTTGTTGAAGTTCTCAAAAGTAAACTGCATAAGGAGAAGAATCAAGTAAAATCTATGTGTAGAACAGGACAAGTCACAGAACCATTGAAATTAGAATAGCAGGCAAAAAAAACCCCAAAACCCTGCAAGGTGCAGTCAGCAAGTGCCTGCTTACGAATTGAGCTTTGGTAAAGTTGATTATAAACACAGTGGAATAAAGCCAAGTGACTTTATTTTTAGTGATCTCAATGCCAGGGACAAAGGAATATGATGTAAGCTTAGAAGTGGGACAATTTATGGTTTGCTTTGGAAAGAAGATCTGGAAAAAAAAGAGAGCTGCTGGCTCAGTGTTACACTAATTCTGTTCAGCAAGCCAGGAAGAAAGTCCATCAAGTTGTACTTAGAAATGAAATGGTCACTTGAGATATCATAGCTCATAGTTAAAGACAGATAACTGGGGTGTAAATCAATCAAAGGACATATAGAACAAGTTAGGGGACGGTCAGATTAAACCCAGTCGTGAGGTAGAATGGCTGCCAGGAAAAGCCAGAATGAACAAAGTACCTTCCGAGAACCCCCACCTAGGGACTGAGGGAGGTTACCACCACTGAAGCAAAGTCAAGCACCTGAATTTATCTGGAGATGGAGACAATCATATTGTGGAGAATCTTTGGGAAGTTTCTATAGAAATGGCATTCCATTTAGTTTGTTACAAGGCAGGACAGATCACCTATGGACTAGGGCCAAGTGTGCCTTCCAGGAGATGTTGGCATCATTTGAAGACATGTTTGGTTGTCACAGCTGGGGTGGAAGAGGGAACTAGGATCTGGTGGGTACAAGAGAGGGATGATGCTCCCAGAATTCAATAGGTGCAGCCCCTACCGTAAAGAGTAAGCCCACCTGAATGTCAGCAGAGCCAGGGCTGAGAAAGAACAAATGAAATAAATGCAGAAGGAAAAGGAAACCTGAGGATGCTCAAAACCTCTTGCCACTGGGCTACAGAAAGAGCTGTCACTGTGAGCTGAAAGGTAAACCAAAAATAATAGGTCAAAAAAGATAGTAATGAAAACTATAAAGAAGGAGGAGATGGCATTTTGGGCTTATTTAAACATTATTGAAAATTCTAGTTTGAATGGTGTTGACTATTTTCTTCTGCAGCAAAATAATATATCATTTGATGCTCCCTGCTCCCATCCCCCCAGCCCTCATCTTGGCCTGGTCCAGTAAATATTTATTGGGTAAATGAAACTAAATTTGTGTTTACTTAATCCAAATATCAACACAATTTGAGATATTTAACCTGTAATGAGCTTAGGAAAATTTGCTTCAAAGGTTTTTGTGAGTTGTCTTAAGTCTTCAAGATAAATCTTATGCTCACATGTAGTGCGAGTTAAACCTGGAGCGAGTCTCTGTTCCAGTGTTCATTTTATTTTGCTCCATGACATGATACACAAAGGAGAGGGATCTTTCCATACTTTGTGGTATATCCAGTCTCATTGACAAAGGTTGGTTTTCATAGAATTATGCAAAATACTGACTAAAGTGAAATTTTCTCTGTAAAAACGCCACAGGAGGCATTTTTGCTTTTGCTCTTTTAACCAAGAATCTAGAAGTCATAGAATCTTTTACCAAGACACACATATTGCATGAGACCAAAGAAACTCTGAAGCTCACCAGCTGAGGACTGGTCACCAAAAGTGTACTGGTTTATGGATATAACTGTCAAACTGTGGTTGTTCTTTTGTTATTGGTGCATGCGAGTAGCCCACACTTTACTGTAGATTTCAAGAACTTCTGGGCGAGTTGTTTGGAGCTCAATCTGCATTTCCCCTGCAGTAGCAGATGTTCTTAGAGTTCCAGACTCAGCTGCAGAACCTGGTTTTACCTACCATGTAGCTGCATGAATAGGATAACCAGGTTCTGAAGGTGGGGAATGGGTTGCTGAGGGTGTGGGAAAGCAAGGCATGGAAAGAATGAAATGTTTCTTCTTTTCCGGACAGAAGAAATCTGCACAAACTCTTGATCACCAGTGTTTGTGATTTCACACTTTTCCTTCTCTTTCTCCATATTTCCTCTTCTTAGGTTTTTTTTTTCCTCAAACCACTAGGCACCTAAGGACCCTCATTGCTTATTTGCTTCAAAATTGCCTACTTCCTTCAAATCCTATTGAAATCCCCTTTTTTTCCTGTATATCTTCTCAGTGAGATGCTTAAGAAATTCATTCTAATACATTTGATAATGGAGGATGCCTGAGAGCAGTTTAGCCAATCCAGACCTGCATGCATTCTTAAAGGAAGATATTTACTAACATAAATGAATTCTTACTTAGAAAAGGTACAGTGCCTGAAACTGATGTAAAAACAAACACAAATCAAGTAGCCGTAGTAGGACTATGAGTTGGGGGTAAGGAAGGGACTCGCTGCTCCTAGGTGGACTGTGTCACATTTTGTTTGCTTTTCCTGGCTTCTCACTGCCCTCCACCTCTGAGTGTGAAAACATTTCCTATAAACCTAAGGATCTCCTTTGATAGGAGTCTTGGGTAGGAGCCGGACTGGTGTAAAACCATTTGTATGTATAGGTCATTTGTTGGTAAGTCAAATCCTTCTACTGTGCAGAATTCCTTGAATGATAGCATAATGTTCACCATAGGATATGGAAGCGGACCAAACAACTTTAGAGAGGAAAACTCTCCGAAGAGCCATGTATTCAAGAGAGGCCAAAGCCCAGATGGAGGATGAAGATGAAGGTAGAGCTGTTTCTTGTATCTGAAACATTTGAATAGGGTGATAGGAGTTTTACCTTGGAATTGATGTGTGAATGGCTCAGTGAGGGATAACAAGCTATGTTACAGGGAGCAAAGAGCAAAAACAAATGCATAATGTTGAAAATGAAAAGTCAAGGCAAGGTGTCAGTTATTGACCATCAACAAATGTCATGAAGTGCGACTATGCGCAGTGTGACTTTCTATGTTTATGCTGAGGTAAGAATCTGGAAATAGGTCTAGATCTTTGTTCAGAAAACAAGACTTTGGGAAAGGACTAATATAATAACCAATTCAAGTTGTTAATAATATGTCAATCCTTCAAAAAATAAACAACCCATGGGAGAACGTGTCAAAGATTCTGTATTTCGTGGATTCGGGAAGTCTCATGATGGTCTCCTGACAGTATACCAATGAAGGAAAATTAGAGAGCCATTTGTTACGTTTCAGTTTTCAGGATCTAATAGGGTATCATGGAAAAGAGATTTACTGCAAATTTGAAAAATTAGGGAATTACATTGCTGTGGCATTTGTTGCCAAGAAGGTTGTAAAATAAGACACCTCTTAAATCCATAGAGTAAGTGCATTATACTTCATTTGCTATGTAGTTTTTACTTACAACTGCATTTCCAAAGCCAACTGAAAATGGAGAAAATTATAATTTGAAGCTAGAAAACACCAAAATATGCTAAGAATACATTTCAGATGATAACTGTTCTGTTCCAACAAATGCTCATGGAGTGAATGAATGAAGGAATGAAGTAATTTTGCGTTTAAATATCTAAGATTGAAAAGTTGTAGGGTTTTTTTGGGCAGTACTGGGAATTGAACTCATGGCCCACTGGAGCCACATTGTCAGCCCTTTTTTCTTTATTTATTTTTCAGGTAAGAGTCTAATGTTTTATTTCTTGCCTGGGGCTGATCTCAAACACAATCCTCCTACCTTTGCCTCCTGCATAGCTGGAATTATGGAGCGTGTCACTTCTCCCAGTTTGTTCTTTGTAATAGGTTTGCTGACTTTTTTGCCTGGTCTGGCCCTAACCTCAACCCTCTTATCTCTGCCTCTCAAGTAGCTGGGATTATAAGCATTAGCCACCACACCTGGCCACATATATTTTGTGGGTCAATAAAAATTTTATCTCTCTGGTGCCCATATGAAGCTTAAGCAAGTTTTCTTGTGTGTGTGTAGAGGAGGAAGAAGAAGAAGATGAGGATGATAACATGTCTACTGTGATGAGACTCAGGACTAAAATGCCATGGAAAACGTGTTGGTGGTACCTCACTTCTGGAGGGTTCTTCTTACTCTTCCTCATGATTTTCTCCAAGCTCCTGAAGCACTCAGTAATTGTGGCTATAGACTACTGGCTGGCTACATGGACATCCAAGTACAGTATAACCAACACTGGAAAAGCTGACCAGGTACTGTGGGTTCAGAGCTGCTTTGAAATCACCAAGAAACTATTGAGATTAGCAGTGATATCTTCTATGTAGACAGGTACATATAGCTCAATGGTCAGAGGAATTCTGGGATGATTCAGTAAGTTAGTAATTAGAACAATATCTGAAATAGAATAAACTTTCGATAATGTTAAAAAATGACATCTATCATTATTACTTTTATCTTTAAAAGTTTATCATAACAAACATTAAAGGTAATGTTTGGATTTGGATTCCAGGGAGTTCTACATGAAATATTTTATTCATATAATGTGTGGGTTACACACACACAAGGGACTTTTTGTTGTGGCTTTGATGATTTTTAATTTTAACTACCTGTGTCAGTGTATTCTGACACATTCATTCTATGATTAAGGCTGAGAAGAATGAGCTTGAGGATGTAGAAAATCACAAATTTGTCCAAACTGAAGGGATTTGTTTCTTCATCTTCTTTTAGGGAAATCTTGAAAAAGAGTTAAAAAAAAAAAAAAAGCGAATGGGAACTTGGCCCGAGGGATTATGGTGGAGATCTCCAAAAACTGCCCTGAATCTCCAAAATCTGCCCTCCTCCATTGTCTACATGTATCAGGATAGTGAAGTCAACAATCCTGATTAGCTTTCTAGTAAGAAAAACCTCATTGAGGATTTCCCATGACAATTTCATGTTGGTTTCTTTCTAGACTTACTATGTGGCTGGATTTAGCATTCTCTGTGGAGCAGGCATTTTTCTTTGCCTTGTCACCTCTCTTACTGTAGAATGGATGGGTCTCACAGCTGCCAAAAATCTCCACCACAATCTTCTTAATAAGATAATTCTTGGACCAATAAGGTAAAAAAATTGTTGTTTCTTGAAATAATAAAAGCATGCATTTTTAAAATTTACGTGAAATGTGAAACTTAAAGAATTTCTTCAGTTGTTGAGCAAAAGAACAGGGTGACCTTCTCCTGTTTATGACTCTAGATGATCCTGAGCTGTGGTCAGGGTCCAGACAGTTTGGTATTACCACACATGTCAATCTGTCTCCTGCCTAGGTTCTTTGATACCACACCCCTGGGGCTGATTCTCAATCGCTTCTCTGCTGACACCAATATCATTGATCAGGTGAGTACTTGAGCAACTCCCAAGTTCTAAAACAAATTTCTCAGTGTAAGCTAAATAGCATTTTAAGGTAAAGCATGATTATTCTTTTTATTTATTTTTATTTTATCGCGTTTACATTTACTCACATGTATATACATTGTTTGGACCACCTCCCCCCCGCCATGATTATTCTTAACATAGCTAAAATTTAAATTAAGGCCAATTTGTATTCCTATCAAATCATGAAAATGATTTGTAGAACAAATCTTAACAGAAAATCTAAATTCAAATTAGTTTTAATTAAATCTAAAGTTCTTAGAAGTTTAATATCCATACAGATTGTCTCTCAGAAGCGAGGATGAGAAGCCAAGTGACCTTAGATGTCCTTTACTTTTAGGACATCTTGAAGCTTCAGATGGTGTGATATTTTAGGGACCGTTCCATGAATGCCCAGTTTAGTCTAAGATTCTTAACTCTAGAAGTTTCTCCTGAAAATAAAAACAGCAAACTCTAAAAGTGAACCACTCCAAGAACAAAACCCTTAAGAGGGCCGAGAAAGGAACGCTTCAAATCTAGGCTTCCCTTTTCTGACATTTTTGAGTGGCATTAAGAATCAAAAATTTACCCTTTATTTAGAAAAAAGAGCTCTTGATGTATTCCTCAGTATGCTGAGGAATTTTGGTGTTTTCAGGGGCTTGGTGTTAGTTCATCCTGTACCCAAAACACTTCATCAGGAATCCACATTGGAAAAGAAGTGACTCAATAGTCATTGTGTAGAAGAGGATACGATTGCTTCCCAAAAAATTCAAAAAAGCTAATACAACAAGGAAATAGAAAATTCAGTAAACCATTTGGACAAGACATATCATAGGGAAACTGCAAATTCCTCTACCATTTGAAAATCGTAGTGAAAAAGTAATTCCGTTCATGCTAACAACAAAGCTGCAATAATAGAAATAAATCTAATATGAAGAAAGATATCCAGTAATCTTAAAAGTCTTAAAAAGCTTGTCTATCTGTAGAGAGAGTCTCTCTATCAGATGTCAGATATTTTAAAATAACCATGAACTTCAAACACTCCATTAGTCTCAGGAGATAAGTAGATCAAAATAACAGGATGGACAATTTAAAAACACTGGCATATGTAGAAATTTAACACAGGATAAATGTGGCATCATTAGTCAGTGAGAAAATCATTAATTTTTAACATAGGATATTAAGATGACTAGTTTTCCATAAAATAGATAACAAATAAATAGAATGCAAATGGTCATAGGAAACCATAGAAGTATAAAAATAGGTGAGTGGTTTTAGAATCATGGAATGGGACAGGTCTTTCTAAGTAAGAACAATAAACAGAAAGGCCAGTAGAAATGACTATATAAAATTTGAAACTGTTACTGAGCTAAAAGCACAAAGACAAGTTTAAGATGTAAAAGAAAGAAGACAAATATTGTAGCATATATTTATATCATAATGTATATCATAATATATATTTGATATAGCATCTAAAAATCAATAAGGAAAAGATAAATAATCCAATCAAAGGACATGAGCAAGCAATTGCAGAATAATTTAAATGTCTTGTGGTAGAGCATATATAAGTAAGTTTTAAAATACTATGTTCCACTAAAAAGAAGTAGGTTTGTATACACTGACATGGGAAGATTTTCAGTCCATCTTAGAAAAGTTAAACAAGCACACAGGTGAATAAGACTTATTATACTACTGTTCTACAATTTAGTACACTAGAATGCCATTAATATAAAATACCCTAGATAAATTAAATAGGTAATCAATGATATGTAGATAGATAAACAGATACCAAACTTTGGGGAGTGAAGAATTGCTTGTAATGTACATGTTTATATACCTACTACTTATGTAACTATATAATCTCACATTAATATAACAGGAACACTTTGTTACATTGTAACCAATGTTTCATTTGAGCTAAACACATATTTTCTTCCAATGGCCTTCTTAATAGCATATCCCTCCAACGCTGGAGTCCCTAACTCGCTCCACACTGCTGTGCCTGTCTGCTATCGGGATGATCTCCTATGCCACTCCTGTCTTTCTGGTTGCTCTCGTGCCCCTTGGGGTTGCCTTTTATTTTATACAGAAATACTTCCGAGTTGCCTCTAAGTAAGTAATAGTGTTCTTCTCATTCTCAAAGCCCATACTTGTTACCATGAACTATGTTTGCAGAAGTGTTTTTTCAAGATAGTGTGGAATTTAGATGTGCCTACTTGAAACAGGCTTAAACCTATCCTTATACTATGATTCATTTAGAGATATCTCATAACTATTTCCATAATTGGTTGTCTGGGCCTTATGTATTTCTGGGCATATATTAACATATGAATTGCTCGGTTGAGTTTTGACAGATTGTGACAAATTTTTCATTCCTTGGTCCTTTTTCTGAATTTGATATTGACAAAAAACTGATAAAATCACCCATGGTCCAAAGATGAAGAGATTTAATATCATTATATTCCAAAAAACAAGATTAAAAATTTGTAAATCCCTCAAATACATGATGTGAAATGTTGGCAGAAGTTAAAAAGAGATTTAGAGATAAACAGTGATGGCTATAAAAGTGGATAATCTTAAATGTCTGAGAGGAGTGCAATGACTTAAAGACATTGGAAAATTTTGGCTAGGATTTGTCATATACTGAGAAGTTGAATAGTTAATGACGTGCAATATCAGTTGCTTTAAAGTTTTCTAGTTTAACTTTGAAGCTTAGCTACAAACAGTACAGGAAGTTCAGTTATCGCAGATAACAAAGCTGTTCTCAAAGAGATTTAGTCTCTCGTTAAAATAAAACATTTAGAAAGTGATCCTAAAATGTGGATTAAATGTTATAATAAAAAACACATCTTGAGTTTATTCAGAAACTTGAAAATATTCAATATGACTTGAGTGCAGTAAAGATGAAGGAAAGGCTGGTGGAGTGGCTCAAGTGGTAAGAGTTCCTGCCTCACAAGCCTGGGGCTCTGAGTTCAGATCCCAGCACTGCCAAAAAAACAAAGATGAAGGAAAACAGGGCAGTGAGAGAAAAAGGAAGGATTATAGTTGGGAACCTCTGAACATATGTAACATTTCATAATTTTTAATATATTTCTGCATTCAGTGCTATGAATTAGTATTCTTTAAATATCAGGGATCCACATTAAATTTAGAGGGTTTTTTTTTTTTAAATCCCAAGTCTCATCTTTTTTTTGTAGCAAATTCAGATCAAAAGGGAGAAGCCAAGAATCAAATTCACTCTTTTATTTCTTCTATGTTTTTGAGATGCTGGCTACTGAGAGCACAGAAGACCGAAGTCACTCATCATGCGGCTGTGTTGGACTCTGTCTTGACTATGTCAAACAATCGTATCTTACTTCAACCACGTGCTCATTTCGGCCTATTTTTTGCCATTTGGCCATCAATTTGAATGCAAAGGTCAGGTAAACATTCCTGAGTCCACTTCAAATTTAAATATGGGTTTTGTTTAGAATCAGTGAGAATAATCCGTCCCCATTCATGGTGACCAAAACAAGTGGGGGAATGACAATTTTTTAAAGAATTAATGTTGGTAATGGATCAAACAACCATTTCAGTCCAACCATCCCTGTTTGAAAATCTCTTGAAGTGGGCAAAGATGACCACCTAAAATGAAATCTCAGACCAGTGGAGCCTTCAGGGCTCATCCATGTGGATTTGCTCAGGCAACTGAACAGATGAGCTTTGAAAACATCAAAAAATTTAAGTGGGGATCTCACTGCAGGAAATGCTGTGAGGTTTTGGAATATCTAAATTCACAGGTCTAATAGCTGTGTAAGTATTTCCTTCTTACAGGAATACAAGAGCAAGCTGTGTCTTCCCCCTTTGGTTGCATGAAACATAGTTTTATAAACAAAGATTGCTCTTTCCTCATTTTTTGGTCCCTGTAGTGACCATCTGCTACTCGTGTCAGATGTGTCAACAGCCACTTGTTTTATTTATAAAAATAAGAGACCATTCATATTCCTTCATTTTATTCTCTGACTTCCTTCCGTCTTTCCCTCCCCACATCTGCAATTTGGGAAGTGAGCAAGTTCATTTTAGAAACTCTGAATTGAAAAGACTTTGCTCTTTTTTGTGGGACTGTATGAGCAGCCAAGAACGACTTACGAAGTTGGAGATAGTTATGAGGTGACTCTGGCAGATGAATGTCAGTGTTGCTTCTCTGGTTCTCTAATCCCCAAAGACCTAGAAAAGGGCAGAAAAAGGAAAGAAAAGAAAAAAAGAGGAATGCTTTGAACCAGAATTTAACTCTTGGCTTGTCTTCTAGAAATGCAAGCGTTGTATCATTTAAAGAAAAGTTGTCATGTGTATGCAATCTTTGTGAAAGGTCACATTTTGGCATTGTATTCATTGAGTACTTTTGTGCTATGTTATGTTTGTGTATCATTGGATATGCACATATAGTTCCTGAGAGAACTGTGAACTGACAGTGCCATGAGACAGGGATTCAAACTCACTGTGGTCAAGCTAAATTCCCTTATCCTTTCCAAATCACTCCTCTGTATCCACCACCCCCCCAAAACACACACAACTGTGTGAATAACACTCATTTTTTTGAAGTGTGCTAAACTGGAAACAACCATCATATTTGACTTTTATTTTATTTGAGTTGGTACAAATAATTGGTCACTTCAGCCTATCAGGCAGCTTAGAACCTATAGCAGGGTGTCTCACAACAGCCTTTACACTTTGCTCAGCATCACACTAATTGGTAACTTTACAAGCCTCCCCCATAGACTGTCATCACTGTCTTCCCCACTCCCCATGTTCTTTCCTTCTTTACACCGTCTCCCAAGTTACACTGATTTGGCACAGCTCTGACCATTTTATTTTCAGTTGTCGGTGACTTTTTTTCAGACCATTAAGGACCTCTACAGGTGAGATTTCAACCCAACCTTTAAGTATGATAAGGACTTCAATGAAATAGACAAAAAGTGAATTTTAACTAAAGGAAAACAAGAGCAAGCACCAGCCTCTGAAGAACCTGGTGAGTTCAGTGGTGGTCTCTGAGCCTGGAGGTGTGTGAAGCTCACTTGTGTCATACTCTCTGTTCTAGGGACCTCCAGGAACTCGATGACAGCACACAGCTCCCTCTGCTTTGCCACTTCTCAGAAACAGCTGAAGGACTCACTACCATACGGGCCTTTAGGTAAGTCGACATGTTTTCTAACTGATAATTAGGAAACCTCATTAATAAGTGTTTATCAACAAATAATAGATAATTGCTACCAATTTTGGGGTGCATACTGTGTATCTGGTAGTGAACTAAACCAGGAGTAAGAAAATTGTGGTCATAAATGATCAGAGTTAATCACTTGAATTTTTTTTCAATTTATTTTCTTTTTTTAATTTTTATTTTATTCATATGTGCATACAATGTTTGGGTCATTTCTCCCCCTCCCCCACCCCCTCCCTTACCCCTTACCCCCTTCGCTACCAGCAGAAACTATTTTGCCCTTATCTCTAATTTTGTTGAGAGAGAGTATAAGCAATATAGGAAGGAACAAGGGTTTTTGCTGTTGAGATAAGGATAGCTATACAGGGAGTTGACATTGCATTTCCTGTGCATGTGTGTTACCTTCTAGGTTAATTCTTTTGATAACCTTTTCTCTAGTTCCTGGTCCCCTCCTATTGGCCTCAGTTGCTTTAAGGTATCTGCTTTAGTTTCTCTGCGTTAGGGCAACAAATGCTAGCTAATTTTTAGGTGTCTTACCTATCCTCACCTCCCTTGTGTGCTCTCGCTTTTATCATGTGCTCAAAGTCCAATCCCCTTGTTGTGTTTGCCCTTGATCTAATGTCCACATATGAGGGAGAACATACGATTTTTGGACTTTTGGACCAGACTAACCTCACTCAGAATGATGTTCTCCAATTCCATCCATTTACCAGCAATGATAACATTTCATTCTTCTTCATGGCTGCATAAAATTCCATTGTGTATAGATACCACATTTTCTTAATCCATTCGTCAGTGGTGGGGCATCTTGGCTGTTTCCATAACTTGGCTATTGTGAATAGTGCCAAATAAACATGGGTGTGCAGGTGCCTCTGGAGTAACCTGTGTCACAGTCTTTTGGGTATATCCCCAAGAGTGGTATTGCTGGATCAAATGGTAGATCAATGTCTAGCTTTTTAAGTAGCCTCCAAATTTTTTTCCAGAGTGGTTGTACTAGTTTACATTCCCACCAACAGTGTAAGAGGGTTCCTTTTTCCCCGCATCCTCGCCAACACCTGTTGTTGGTGGTGTTGCTATGATGGCTATTCTAACAGGGGTGAGGTGGAATCTTAGTGTGGTTTTAATTTGCATTTCCTTTATTGCTAGAGATGGTGAGCATTTTTTCATGTGTTTTTGGCCATTTGAATTTCTTCTTTTGAGAAAGTTCTGTTTAGTTCACTTGCCCATTTCTTTATTGGTTCATTAGTTTTGGGAGAATTTAGTTTTTTAAGTTCCCTATATATTCTGGTTATCAGTCCTTTGTCTGATGTATAGCTTGGCAAATATTTTCTCCCACTCTGTGGGTGTCTCTTCAGTTTAGAGACCATTTCTTTTGATGAACAGAAGCTTTTTAGTTTTATGAGTCCCATTTATCTATGCTATCTCTTAGTTGCTGTGCTGTGGGTTTCATTGAGAAAGTTCTTACCTATACCTATAACTCCAGAGTATTTCCTACTCTTTCTGTATCAACTTTAGAGTTTGGGGTCTGATATTAAGATCCTTGATCCATTTTGGTTAATATTGCATGGATCTAGTTTCAGTTTTTTGCAGACTGCTAACCAGTTTTCCCAGCAGTTTTTGTTGAAGAGGCTGTCTTTCTCCATCATATTTTTTAGCACTTTGTCAAAGACAAGTTGGTTATAGTTGTGTGGCTTCATATCTGGTCCTCTATTCTGTTCCACTGGTCTTCATGTCTGTTTTTGTGCAGTACCATGCTGTTTTTATTGTTATTGCTTTGTAATATAGCTTTGAAGTTGGTATTGTGATCCTTCAGTTTGTTTCGTTTTACTGAGTATTGGCCTGGGCTATTCATGGGCTCTTGAATCATTTGAATTTTTTAACAAAAATAAAGAAAGGATGAGCAGCACATGGAAAGGTAAATTAGCTGTGTGAATTTATATGAGAATTTCCATGGCTCTGTTCCTCTTTGTGAGACTGGGGTAAAAATCTGCTTGTTAAGGACCATTGGACTAATTGATAGAATAATGTAAGCACTAAGCCACAGTGTCTTGTCTGTTGAAGGAGCACTATAATCAACAGGGAGTTTAAACTGGATGTCTTAAATATAGTAATAATAATCTTTCACAAAAGGAAACTACTTACATCCAAAATTAACTTTAGAATTTTTCATCTGTTTGTTAATGATTATAACCAGGAAATAACTTAATCTTCTGCTGAAGAATGTTTTAATTAATCCTCAAAAAAATTTCCTGACCCTATTTTTCCTGTTCAAGTAAAATCAGAACAGAAGGTGTCTTTTCCTGATTATTCCTTTGAAAGCTAGAAAATTGGACATGTTTAAAGTGTTTATATCTTTCTTCAACACAAATTACAGTATTATTGGATTTCAATCAGAGATGTCTCTACCATAAGAAATTTATTTTTTATAGTGTAAGAATGGGTTCACAGAGTAGGATACATAGATACGCTTGCACACCAGGATGTGTCCCTAGAATTTCTGTATATTCCGTAGATTTTCCTATAATCCATGTAGTTCCATCATGCTTCTTAACCTGGTGTTTTTTGTCATTAGTGTGCAGTGCTTTTATTGAGAATTTCAAAACTGTGTATACTGTTTTATTAGTATTGAAATGTAGATATTGAACATAAAATTTATTTCTAATTTTTACAGCAATGATAATTAATGAATACAACTGTATTAAAGATTACTGTTTTCCTCAAACATGTGCCCCTTTCTAAGATCACTTATATGAGAAATATTTATTTGAATATTGAACATATTCCAAGTAATATTCTTTTGGCTGTAAATAAATGAAGATGAAATAGTCATGGTTTTAACTCCCACTCAATAATTATTTGTTCCACCCCTGATCTTCATATTAATCTCTTTATTTCCTTGGTAGTGTTTTACCTGTGAGCGATTTTAAATTACTTTTTAAAAAATGTTTTATATAGCGTCATTCTGAGTGAGGTTTAGCCTGGCAAAAGACCAAATCGTATGTTCTCTCCAATATGTGGACACTAGATCAAGGACAAATACAACAATGGGATTGACTTTGAGCACATGATAAAAGCTTTAGCAACAAGGGAAGGGGTGAGGATAGGTAAGACAACCCACACCACCCCCATACTCCCACCCCCCCCCTCCCAACCCTCCCCCCACCCCCCCACGCCCACACACCTTCCCCAGACCTCCCCCCCCCAACCCAACCCCCCCCCCCCCCCACCCACGCGCCCCCTCCCCCCCACCCCCTCCACCCACCCCCCCCCCCCCCTCCCACCACAGCCCCCCAAGACTCCACCCACCCACCCCCCACCACCCCACCCCCCCCCCCCTCCCACCCCCACCACCTCCCCCCCCTCCTCCCCCCCGCCCCCACCCTACCGCCCCCACCCCACCCCACCCCCCCCCCCGCCCCCGCCCCTCCACCCCTCCACCCACCTCTCCCACCCCACACCCCTCCCCACACCTAAAAAAAAATTAGCTAGATTTTGTTGGCCTGTAACGCAGAGAAACTAAAGCAATAAAAAACCTTTAAAAGCAACTGAGGCAAATAGGAAAAGGGGACAGGACTAGAGAAAAGAGTTAAGATAAAAATAGACTTACCTAGAAAGGTATACACCACATGAAATTAATATGGGAGTCAACTACCTTTGCTATCTTTTTTCAACGCAGCAAAACCCTTGTTTTCTTCTATTATTGCTTTATACTCTCTTACAACAACAAAATTAGAAATAAGGGCAAAATAGTTTCTGCTGGGTATTGAGGGGGTGAGGGGGAAGGAGGGGGCGGAGTAGGTTGTAAGGGAGGGGGTGGGGGCAGGGGGAGAAATGACCCAAGCCTGTATGCACAATATGAATTAAAACAAAGTTTCTATTATTTATCCACCCTCCACTAAAATGTAAGCTCTGTAAGAACAGCCCTTTTTTTTTTCATGTTATATCACCAATATTTGGAAAAATGCCCAGCCCTGAGTAAATGCTTAAGAAATTTAAGTTGAGTAACTAGCCAGCTGGCATAGGCTCTGTCCTAAAGAGCTCACAACCTAGTAGGAGAGTGGATTTAAGAAAAAATGGCATTGTGCTCAGTGACTCACACCTGTACTCCCAACTACTTGGGATGTAGAGATGGGGAGGATCTCAGTTTGAGGCCAACACAGGCAAAATGTTTGTGAGACCCATCTCAGTCACTAAAAGTTGGTGTGGTAGCACATACTTGTCATCCAGCTACATGGGAAGTGTGAATAAGAGAACTGCAGTCCAAGCTGGCCCAGCATAAATGTGAGAACTTAGCTCAACAATAACCAAAGCAAGCCAGGTGCCAGTAACTCACACCTGTGATCCTAGTTACTTGGGATGCTGATCAGAAGAATCACAGTTCAAGGGTAGCCATGTCCAAAATTTCACCAGACCCCATCTCAACCAAGAGCTGGGTGCAGTGGTACACATCTATCATTCAGCAAAGGCAGGGTAAATAGAGGATTGTGGTCCCAGACCAGCCTGGGCAAAAAGTAAGACTTCATTCCAAATAACCAGAGCAAAAGGTTGGCGGAGTGGTTCACGTGGACTAACACCTGCCTAGCAAGTGTAAAGCCTGACTTTCAAACCCCAGCACTGCCATAAAAAATGGCAATTTATTAAGATGTGAGTCTAATATGAGTACACAAGAAACAACTGTGCCAGGAATGGTGCGCCATGCTGAATAGGGCATAACTTATTGAACAAACAATTGTTTGAATGAAGAATAGTTGAACTGGCAGGTCAACCTGCTAGTCTTCAAAGCAGAGGTAATAGGCATAAAAAAGCATGAGGAATTCTTCTTAACATAGAAACCAAGTCCAGTATTGTTGGAGCACAGACAAGTACAAAGTGGGTAGCTATGTTAGTGAAACTTGAAAAACACAAATGGAGGCTGGTATCTAACGGATATTGAGTAAGTTCTTCTAAGAAATGAATCATAATGTTCTCCAAGT